TATATAGGATTCCGCTTCAATCAATGCTTCTTGGAGAGTCGCAACTCTCTTTCGGACCAAGTCGAACTTGAAGGTCGACCCATCCTTAAGACCTCTGAAAAAGTCAGTGTAGGCTACCTCATCCGGCAGCCCTTGTATTTGAATCCTCATCAGGTTAAACCGCCTGATGTAGGAACGGAGTCCCTCCTTCTCACCCTGCTGAATAGTCCCTAAGTCAAGGGTCGTCTTTTTAGCAGGAATATTCATAGCAAAATTGGAGGTGAATAAATAGGCAAGTGTCTTGAAATTATTCACACAACCAGTCGGCAGGTTGCCGAACCATTGTTGTGCGATTCCCTTGAGAGTCGCTGGGAAACACTTGCACCAAGTGGGATCATCCAACCCTTGGAGGTACATTAGGTTGGTGAACGCCATTAGGTGATCTTCTGGGTTAGTAGTGCCATCATAGGCGCCTACTAACATATTCTTCACTTTGGCCGGCTGGGCGGTCTCAATAATTTCCTTGGAGAAAGCGGACGGCTGTTCTCCAAGTCTGAGCAACCGTAGTTGCCAGTCCAATGATTGGACGTTTCTTGCCGCCTGCCCTCCAAACAAAGGAGGCTGCAAGAAGTATTTTTGTTGCGGTACATGATGGTATATTCGATACCGACTGATCTTTATGAGATCCGGACCGACGGGAGGTACCGCCTGTCTGACTTTCATAATTTGATTGAGTATACCTCAGGGAGGTATTATGTAAACTATCTTGAAAATCTGAAGTAGAGGCCGACTCTGACAGTCGGTCATTCTTCTTCTACTCTAGCAACAATCGAGCATTTGAGTAAGTTTTCTTTGACCCATCCGCTTGTACATGACGAATGGGCTTTCTCTTCCCTGGTGAGGGAAAATAATACTTTGTTAAGTCAATCACAGGCGGCTCCCACTTCCTAGAATTAGGGTGAGGAGTCGCCTCTCGACCCTGTACAGGTTTCCTCCTTCCAGACTGAGAAGGTTTTCTAGCCGACTACTCCTTGGAGGGAGCAGGCGTCTTCTTATTAATGAGATCCTGGATCTCCCCTTTGAAGCTATTCATGAAAGTCACGAGTTCACTTCTAGTGATGGGAGAAGATCCCTCGGCCGCCTGTTGATGATCAAGCCGCTGGCCGGCAGGTTTACTAGATCCAACCTGGCAATCTTTTCGTTCCTTCTTTTCAAAGGAACGGGTTCGTCGAGCTCATAAGGTCCCGTCTGGGGCCGTGTGAGTCTCAACCTCGACCTCATTTTCGGTATCCTGGTCACTATAGACCTGAGGGTCGTCCATAGGACGCCTCTCGCTCTGGGTCGGTACAGACCGTGATTCCATCTCGAAAATACTCTCCCCACAGACGACGCCAAAATGTTTCGGGGTTTTCTGATGTCCTGCGGGAGAGTTACAATTTCAGGACTGGTATCCTTGCGCCTGTACCTGCAAAACAACGGAGACTCCTTGTGGTGGGAGTTCCGCCTCCGACGATCAAGTTAGTATTTATTTGAGGAGTGAATAGTGCGGAAAAGTAAAGATTGGGAGATCGGGTTCCTCTAGGGGAGGAGTGATCAATGTGTTTAGGTTCTCTAGGTGAGAGTAATTAATTGCTAAATCCCCCTTAATGAGGATTAATTAGAGTATTTATAACCTTGGAAAATGTGCCAAACACTAGGTTCAGGTTAACCTAGGGCTGACCGGCTTCCCTTGGAAATTGGTCCTAGGTGGCCGTTTGGCCTATTTGGCATACGGAGGCCACGTGGCGTGACACAACTAGTCCATGGTGGATAGATCAACTCCTGACACGTGGCAGGCTTCTATTGGCCCATGTAGGCGGACACTTGGCAGAGCCTGAATGGTCCACTTGTCAGATGGTGATTGGTAGGGAAAAATCCCCTAATCAGTAGTCATCTTTCCTAAAATTGTATTCTCGGCAAGTTATTATTTTTCCTTTATTTTTTGTTTGAATTAAATATTCTTATTATACTTACCAAATTTAGGTATGTCTAATTCCATATATATGACATTTGACATTTTAATTGTTCGCCAAGTGTCATGCCACCTAGGCGACAATTGGATATTAGTATGACACATAGAATTTATTTGAATATATATTTTTTGTATAATAGAATAAAAAAAATTGGATAAATTTAGATAGATTTTGTAGGATAACAAAGTTATTTTAGAGTTTTATTTTCAATAAAATATGTATAGTTTTTTAAGATAAAACTTTTGGTTTAGAATTTTATATTTAATAAGATACCAATATTTTATATTTTATCAAAAAAAATATCAATTCTTTATACGTTGTATGTCCAAGTGGCGGATCCAAATGACCGGGGTATATAGAGGTACAATTGTACTCTCATTCTCCTTCCCAAAAAGGGGAAAAAAAACGAAGAGACATGTTATTATATACTTAAGTCTTAACATGCAAACAAGAGAAAATGAAAAGAAATCACAACTTTAGAAAACAGTTTTTTTAATTGTACATTAGTACCCCTACAACCCTACATTACACTTCTGCCAAACCCGGCTTTCTAAGTATTTGCTTTCTTTTCTATTTTTTCTTTTTACCAAAACACTAATATGTTTTTTTTAAATACTTTGATAGTATTCATAGCGTACATAAACACTTGAACATAAAGCACTACTATCAAAGTATCAAATAAGAGTATCAATTAATTATTTTGCTTCATATACTTTGTATTGTTAATATTTTATAGTTTCTTAATGTTACCTTAAATTTATATAAAAATAAGAGCTTTCGAATCAATAGTTCTAAATTTACTACTCTCATCTGTAAACTTTTAATTTTCTCTCCTTTAACACAAAAACTTTATATTTCAATACTCTCATCCATATTATTAAAATCACAACTCTAATTACTCTAACCATACTATTTGCGTTACTTTCAAAAACTACCAAATAGTCCAAACTCTTTCCTAAAACCACTCATATCTTTATGAGAGGTAGTACTACCTTTTTTTTCAAGTATGATTGCCTAGGTGATTATGAATTCATGAGTTAAAAATTCAAATAACATAAAAAAAAAAAAATTATTTTAAAATTCAATAAACAATCCGAACATTACATGGACACAAAACTAGTTTTTTTTAAAGGTAGCCATCTTTCCCATAATTGTATTCTCATTATAGGTAAGTTATTACCTTTCCTTTATTTTATGTCTGAATTAAATGTTCGTACTTACCAAATTTGGGTATGTCTGATTCTATATATATACTATAGTTTTATTACATTGAATAAATAATTGTATTGCAATTTAATCACACATTGAATTACTGTAATGGTGAAATCAATTGGAGAATTCTGGTATGATTACTTTATTTTATTTTTTTTCAATTAGCAATTCTTCTAATTTATGATTTATAGTTTAAAATTCTATTTTGTGTTGATTTGACCCCATAATTAGTTTTCTCCAAAATCCTCAAAAGAACCTTTAACTGGATGATCCATATATATATATATATATATATATATATATATATATATATATATATATATATATATATATATATATATTTAACGAGAAATCTATTATTCACAATTTTCTTTATCATAGTTGAATATACAACTCGCTAGTCGCTTCTACGACTATCTAATTTTTATCTTATTAAGGATGGAAGAAGTAGTTAACTAATAACTTTAGTTAATTTATCTTTTTAATACTCCCTCTGTTAGTCTGTTTCATAATGTTAGTCCATATACTATTTTGGGCGTTTCAAAAAGATCTACCCATATTGAATATGTTTCATTTTTAACTTAATTTTTCAGAATTAATTATTTGTGGATTGATGACATGATTCCAAGTAAGGAAACCTCTACCTTGAATTATACAATTATGACTTATGCTTTCCCAAAAAAAAAAATTTAAAAATTTAAATAAGGTAAATTAATTATGAATTATTTTGTACTTTAATGTTAGATTCCAAATATTCTTCTTTTCTTATTTTATGTAATTGATTCCATATAGGACTAACATTATGAAACGGAGGGAGTTCAATTTTAAATTAGGGTTTATCCAATCGAGCTCAAAAAATAATTGCTATTTTATAAAAAAAATAAAATTGGATAAGTAGTTGAAATGGAGAAAAAAATTATCAGTAATGCATGATTGAAGAATTTGTTAAAAAAAAATATATTAATAAATAAATAAATAAAATAAATAAAATAAAATAAAAACGCAGGATTGAAGAAGTAGATAATTGTTTGCTATTCAGAATAATAATAAAATTAATGAAAGGGAGGACTAATTTATCTCATACCAGAATTTGTCAAAAAAAAAAAAAAAAAAAAAAAAAAAAATAACGCAGGATTGAAGAAGTAGATAATTGTTTGCTATTCTGAATGAAAGGGAGGATTAATTTATCTTATATTAAGTGCTACGAAGTATATGATAAACATGTTTTGTTTTAATAAACCTTTCCCAGTAATTACCTACACTAATAATCATAATTGTCCTCAATAATAATGGTAACTATGAAACAGTCTGTAAAAATAAAAACACTATGAATGTTATCTAATTTTTTTTGCATATGAAAAATGTATCTTTAATGCTAAGAACATTAGCAATAATAGAATATTAACAATTTTGATATACCACTTTTACATGGATTTTAACTCGCAGAAAACTAGAAATAGTATTTAAATAAAACTCGACTCTTGTTTCAGAAAAACAGAAAACTATAAAACTCTATTGTAAAATCTAATATTATATGCATAACATTTGTCAAAAAAAGAAAAATATTATATGCATAACAAACCTTTCTTTGATAGTAATTTCGACAAAAAAACTACTTCAATTACCAAATTTCGAGATTTTTGCTTCCACCAATCGATTTAGTCAAGCTGTTAAAGCCCAAAACATTGTAAATAATTTTTGACTTTGTCCAATCCAACAAATATTTTTGTGCTTCCTAATCTTAAGACCCCCAATTCATATACTATAAATATGTTAAGCATAATATTATTTGTATATATGATGTTCCCTAGCTCAAAAAATGATGAGGGGCACTCAAGTTCAGAAAATCAAGCGGATGAAGAGCAACAACGCAGCTATACCACAGACATTCCAATAGGTTTTAAGTTCAAGCCTACCGATGTCGAAATTATATGTGAATACCTAGTGAAGAAAGCAACGTTGAAGCTGGTTCCACCTAGTGAAATTCATGATATCAATCCATCTGATTTCTATAATACTCATCCTAAAGATCTTGGTAAGATTTTTTTTTTTTTTTTTTAATTTAATTTTAGTTAGTGTTTCCTTTTTGTTGCAGCACTTAAAATATTGCGGAATTCTTAGGCACTTTTTGGTGATGAGAGGGATGTAGAGAAAGAAAAAAAAAAAAGTAGACTCATGTTATAGGGGAGATACTGAGAGCTTATTAAATAAAGAAAGTGATGCATATAAATCACACAAATACACAATGTGTACGAGAGAGCAATAAAAAAATAAAACTTTCCTATTTTAAAAGCAATCCTTTTAAAAAACAGAATTTTTTTTTTTTTTTTTTTTTTTTTTTTTTTTATTTTTTTTGTAAAGCTGAATTTGTTTGCATGCACAAGGTCTAGCACACAAATACACAATGACCAATAATATCAAATTATTTTAGAAGTAACCAGATCAAATCCATTTTAGTGTTTTGTTTTTATCTGTGTTTATTTATTGTTATATATCTTTATTTAATACGAATGTAATGACATTACTTTCTTAAATAGCTGATTAATGTATAAACAAGGTCATAATTTGATCAAATCGGATCATATGGACTGAATTTCATTCATAAATGGATGTTGCAGTTTTAAGGTTACCTGATGATAGGAGTGAGTGGTACTTTTTCATTCCACAAAATCCAAACGAATTTAAAGACAGGATCCAACAAGGGGTGGAAGGTGTAGGGTATTGGCAATTCAAATACAATGTTTTGATACATGATCGAGAGAGCAAACCAATTGGCAACAAGTTTGAATACAAGTTTTTGAGAACCAAACCTCAAGACAAACCAAAGGGAACAATTTGGAAGATTGATTTATATGAGCTACTCCAACAAGTAAGTAATTCATATATGATATAACATTATTGGTACCTAAATTTTAATGATGTAGGCGAAATTTCATATATTAAATCTTTATTTTTTAATTTTTTTTACAGAACATCGAGTGGATAATGGTGAAATTGACAAAAGGAACAAACTATGATGGGGTTTGAGAATGCTAGCATTGAGCAATTCTAGCTTTTTAAGTTTGTTTTTCCTATTTATAATAAATCAATCTCTTATGTTAGTTTTTCCTATTAATAATAAATCAATCTATCTCTTATGTTAGTTTTTCCTATTGATAATAAATCAATCTATCTCTTATGTTAGTTTTTCCTATTACTAAATCAATCTCTCCATTTCTAAATTTCCTAATTTCTTGTTTGAGAGTTTATCGACTAACTCAATTTTTGAGTTAAATCTACCCATATATATGGGGTTTAATGTCTCTCGTTGTGAGAGTTTAAAGCTGTAATTTACAATTCTAAATGAATAATGTGAAAGATGTCAAGCGAACACATTGGAGGATTGACATAAACTACTCCAACAAGTAATAATTCTTATAGCTTTATTTATAACTTATTTCAACTTAAAATACAATATTGTAGGTAAGATTTGGTATTTTTCTTTTTTCTGTTAATTACAGATTGCCGGGATCTCAAGGGATATTGAGTAATCATAGAGGCTTCATCTTGTTCAATTTTAGCAAGGGAAGGGAAAGAAAATATCTTGTCCAATGTTTGGTTTGACACAAAAAGAAGAGAAAGCAAGGGAAAACAAATTTTAATTTGATATATTTAATTTCTCTCTTTTAATCAAAAATAAAGTGAATATTTTGTGAAGGGTCCTTTCGCTTCCCTTCAAATCCTATCAAATTCCATGTAAGTGTTGAACTAGGCGAGAGTATAAGATCTCAAAGGAGATTGAATAATGCCAGAGACCCTATTCCTATTTCATGCAAAATTATTGTCCTTTTGTTCTAAAAAAAAAGTAAAAAAAAAAGTCTTGGTTTACTATTTTTACATTATTCACTTTTAAACTTTTTACCTATATATATACTTTGTAAGAAGTATTCTAGCGGCCTCTCAAAAAAAAAAAAAAAAAATAAATAAATCCAAACGGAATGTTTCCTACTATACTCCTAGTTTAAAGGGGTTTATTTTGACGAGAAAATATGTTTCCTACTAATTCTCTAATCCTCTATGTTTCCTACTAATCCTCTACCAAGTTGAGTATTTAACTATTCAAAATGAGTATTTAAAGTTAACGTGCATCAATTATTAGGATATAATCATTATGAAATAACATTAAAAAGAGTTCGTAAATAAAATCTTGTAAGACTTTATTTTAGTGAGTTTTTGATTTGATGTAAGTGTATTCATGGAAAATAATTTTCCAATATTCCATTAACAGATGTGGAGTGAATTCAATTTAATTGATTGTGCCTGTTTTTTTGGGTTTTTATTTTACAGATTCAATATTACATAATTCACGATTCAATATTTTATAAAAATTATTATAAAAGTAATAACATGCTGCATCCAATGAGTATTCTGTATAAAACTAATCTTTAATGTTTTTCTAGGCAAAGATAAAAGCAAGCTATTAAGTATTAAAAATGATTAGATTTTCAATAAGTCTTGTGTACAACGGGTGTACATTAATTTTATTGTAAAACGGTCGATTTGAGCTTAATTTTAACTATTTTTATGGTAACTTTAACCACTTAAAGGGTAACTTTTAATTTGTCGTTGTTTTGAATTTTATTTTAATGTATAATTTCTTATAAATACGTGATTACATAATATAAATATTAATATGATTATTTTAATACATTATAAGTTTTTTATAAGATAAAATTTATTAATAGAAAAATCATAACTTTAGCAATACAAAGGGTAACTTTAGGTACTTTTAACACAACTTTAACCCGTTTTACAATAAATTAACGTACACCCACCTTTTTGAAGAATTTGTGTTAGATTTTTCTTTTATTAATTACTAGTTTTGTGTTCGGGCGATATCCAGATTGATGATAAAATTTTAGGATAAACTTTTTACTTGAATGTGAAATATGGTCCTTCAATCCCTTTTGATAATGCAGGATATTTAGACTCACAATATCTATGTTGATGCCCGGATTGTTGATAAAATTTTAGAATAAACTTTTTGGCTTGAATGTTCAATAATACGATCATGTAATCTCTTTTGATAATACAGAATATTTAGACATACGTATCATATCGCTTATTTATAAAATAATGGTTTTGTTTGTAAATAGATATATATGCTATTATGGACTTAAAATTATTGTTATTGAATTTAGATTATTTTTACTGAAGAAAGTATTTTTACATTATTTTTACTGAATTAAAGTTATTTTACTGATTCTCTAATTTTTTTAGTAAATTTAATAACAATGTATTTTGTATGCGACTAACCACACCAGCTGGCTGGACAAAGTAACCCCTATAAAATTGATCGAGTAACCCTTGTTATATAAACTGAGTAACCTCTAACACTGACTAAATAACCCTTATCTATAACATGATTGAGTAACCACTATAACACTGACCAAGTAACCCCTATAGCACTAAAGACCTAACTTTGAGATTGTAATTGTTGGTGACATGGTTTGGCCAGCTACGTATAAAAGTTTGTGATTACATATATTATAAATGGATCTTATTTTACAGAACTTTTTAAGACGAATTTGATGATGGAAATAGAATTGAGTTATAGGATATTTATTAAAAGTTATGATTAATTTTGTATATATGAAATATTAAAATTTTATCGATAATAAAACTCTAGTAACCATTTTATCTTAAAAAATCTATCCAAAAACCGCTTACTTAGCATCATATGTGTCACAATAATACCTATTTATCTCCTATGTGGCGCGCCACTAGAATGCCAAGTGTCGCTGTCTCGTGGCCAGCTACGTATAAAAGTTTGTGATTAAATATATTATAAATGGATCTTATTTTAAAGAACTTTTTAAATCGAATTTTATGATGGAAATAAAACCGAGTTATAGGACATTTATTAAAAGTTATGATTAATTTTGTATATATGTATTAAAATTTTATCGATAATAAAACTTTATATAACATTTATCTTAAAAAATCTATCCAAAAATCACTTACTTAGCATCATATGTGTCATAATAATATCTATTTGTCGCCTACATGGCGCGACACTTGACGAAAAATTGGAATGTCAAATGTCGCTGCCTCGAGGCCTGGCTGCGAGACTGGCTTTATATATTAGTGACTAGTTTTGTGCTTGGGCGATGTCTAGATTGTTGATAAAATTTTAGGATAAACTTTTGGCTTGAATGTTAAGCATGGGCATATAATCTCTTTTGATAATGTAAGATATTTAGATATACGATATCATATAATAATGTACTTTTTGTAGTTTTGTTTGTAAATAAATACCTATGTTATTGACTTGAAATAATTGTTATTTATTATTACTAAACCAAAAGTATTTTTACCAAATCGAAATTATTTTTACTGATTAAAACTTATTTTTACTGATTCTCTATTGTTTTTGCAACTAAATTAAATATATATAAATAGATCTTATTTTTAAAGAACTTTTTGAAACAAATTTTATGATGGAAATAAAATCGAGTTATACAATATTTATTAAAAGTTATGATTAATTTTGTATATATGAAATATTAGAAGTATAATGATAATAAAATCTATACAATAATTTTATCTTAAAAAAATCTATCCAAGAATCGTTTACGTAGCATCATATGTGTCACAATAATACCTATTTGTCGCCTACGTGGCACGACACTTGGAGAAAAACTGGAATGCCAAGTGTCGCTGTCTCGTGTCGTGGCTGCGAGACCGACTTTATTTATTAGTGATATATATAATATGATTTGATATGATGATAGATATTATAGAAAGATAATATTTTTCGTAGTAGATTTAGGATATATTTTGTATCATTATTGTGTTAGGTTTCTTAACAAGATTATGACTAGTTCTATAAACGTTATATATATATATAGTGATTTATGGTACACATTCCAAATTGAGGAGTTTTTTCGAAATCTAACAAATAATTATACAAGTACGTTTTAAGTGAAAGGAGACTTCAAATAATAAACTAGAGGTAATACTCGTATACGTTATGAGTAATGGATTATTTGTAACGAGCTTCATTTGATCTTACAAAACAGGATTACAGGAAGAAATATAGATAAAACTTAAAACCTAGCTAGTTTTCAAGAGATCTTGGCCACATAAACACCTTTACCTTTTGAGCTAAGCGTAAATTCTAAAAGCATTACAAAATAATTAGATGGTAACTTAGTAACCTGCAAATCGTCAAATGAGTTTGGGAATAAAAGAAATATCCACAATAAGGTTCTTTAGGGACATTATTGTTCGTAGTAGTCCATGAGCACCCTCTAGGCAATGATGCCCACATGCCCAAAGAGGCAAAGACCCATTTGACGCCCGCTTGTGGTGCGGGAGACGATCCATGACATCTAAATTGGTTTTCGTTGCCATAGTGTAGATGGCATACCATAATGTTAAGTAATTATAATGATCATATTGAATTTTCAAATTGTTTGTATTAGATCCGTGTCGGTGTATACTTTTGAAATATAATTTTTTTAAACATTGTTTGCATGTTGTAAATTCAAGTTATTAATGGTTGATGTCATATAATGTAGTATATAAAGAGTATATAACGTGATATATGTCTTAGGTTGATGTGTAATTATTTTAAATTATCAAATACTGATAATTTTGTATAATATCTCCCCCTTTTTTTTGTTCTACACATGCATTTTGCTCCATCTTCAACACATTTGTTTGATCAATTATAATTTTATTTAAGTAATATATATTGCACGTAAATTATGAAAATTGCATACTCTTTCAATTCGAAACCACACATTGAGATGATTTTAACAAGATCATATGCATGTGATGATTAAGTGTTACACTTGACTTTTGCACTGTTCACGTACACCACTTTAATCAATATTTGAACTTTATAAGATTAAATATAGTCATACACATATATATGCACTTGTTAGCTAAAATCGTCTCAATGTATTATTTTAAATTTATGATCGATATATATATATATATATATATATTAAAAAATAGCAATATCATTAGTAGACAAGTTCCGTTTTGACAACTATGCCGATCAAATTAAGACACTATATAGGCAATTTAAGACAATTTTAGTTTTTTTTTTAGTTTGACCACATAAATAGTAAGTAATATATTATGGAGAAAACTTGTGCTGACCTAGTTCATAATAATATTATTTTGGACCTAGGGTCCATACGCGCGCAACTGACGTTATATTGAACATATAGTGACCTTAATTTTAATATATTGACCTTTATTAAAACTTACATGACCTTTAATATTATTGTGACCTAAAGTACACATGTGGCCGACGTTATGTTGAACATAGTGACCCTAATTTTAACACAATACCTTAAACCAGATAGTATATATTAAAAACTTTCATTAAAAAAAAAACTCTTATGACCTTTATAATAACACAATGACTTTTCTTTTACCTTAGTGATCTTTTTGTTTATGATACCAACAACCATAGTGTCTCTAATATTAGTGCTCCACAGTAAATTAATGTGAAATAAGTCTATTTAAGAGTTTGTATATAAAATGAAATAAAATTAAATGAGAAAAACGAGAAAATAAAATAAAATCCATCTTTACCAATAGTAAGTAATATGCAGTTGAAATTGATTAATTGTGTACACATGCAAAAAGGAAATGGGACAAAAAAGAAAGAAAAATAAAATCCATCTTTACCAATGGAAATCAAGCAATATAGAAAAACATCATATATTTATGGTAACAAATCCATGCATATCCCTTGTATCCAAATAATTTTCTATTACATTTCACCCATCCTATTCTCTACCATAATATATGTTTTATGAGCTTGACCATACTTTAATTTAATACAAATTTAAAATTTTTGCACAATCAAATAATTATTTTAATATTTATTGTGTTGCTATAAATGTCACACTTCCTCATGTATAAAATACAAATTGATATTACAATCTCATTCAAAAGAAAATTGATATCAAAGAAAATGTCTTTTTCTCAAAATGCTTTTGGATTTCTTGCTATCATGGCCTTAGTTACCATGGTACATTGTCAAGATTGGACAGATGCTCATGCAACGTTTTATGGTGATGCTAAGGGTGGTGATACCGAGAGTGAGTTTTCTATAAATTATTACTTCATACTACGTATATATATGTTAGTTATAAAATACATTTTAATTTCACCCTTTAATTTCTTACAAAAAAATTGTATACATATAAAATTGACACTAGTTTGACAAATCATTGAATCGAAAGCTAGCATGCATTTGATGCCAGTTTGTAATAATGCTAATGAAGTTTCATTGTTTTAGTAATCTTGATTTTACATTGGAAGAACAAGGCAAGGGTGGAACATGAAAATTATATTAAGGGGACTAAAAGCGGCCAAAACTATAACTTTTGTTTAACCTAGCTGTTTCCAAGAAATTAACATATACGAAGTATAATTTAATTTTTTTGTAAAATTGGGGAATATCGAGGCTCCCATCCATACAAGGAAAATTTTACTTGATTTAAATGTCGATATGAGTTCATTATTAGTAGTTCGGTTAAATTATGTCTTAGTCTTGTTTGTGATCGATATGACATGATTTTGACAGTTTTTTAAAACTTTTTTTCATTCCATCTATCATTTGCCCTTATTCACGAATCACGAGTATGTGGCTAAAGTGAAATTGTGGATACCTACGTGCATAATATCTCTTTTTTTTTTATAAGAAAACCGTTAGTCGGGCAATTTAATTAAAGCAAACTTGCATAATCTCTTTTCCTAACATAATTTTTGGTTGTTGGTGCCATGCAGAGGGTGCTTGTGTTTATAGAACACTTACGCAAGGATATGGACTGCAAACAACAGCTCTTAGCACAGCACTTTATCTAGATGGTGCAACTTGTGGAGCATGTTATGAAATCAAATGTACCAACTCAGAATGGTGCAAAGACGGTGCTGGCACGATCAAAGTCACGTCCACCAACTTGTGTCCACCCTCAATTGGTCCTGAGGCATGGTGTAATCCTCCGTTGCAACACTTTGACTTGACACAACCCATGTTTGTTACAATTGCTAAGTACAAAGCCGGTATTGTACCTGTACAATACACGAGAGTACCTTGTACTAAGCAAGGAGGAGTCAAGTTTCTTATTAATGGAAACCCTAATTTTATTTTGGTACTAATCTTTAATGTTGGAGGTGTCGGAGATGTTAAAGAAATGAAAATCAAGGGCTCGGGTGATTGGGCTCAAATGTCGCGAAATTGGGGTATGAACTGGCAAATTGGTGGTTCGGGTTGGATCAACCAAGAGTTATCATTCCAAGTGACTACTAGTGATGGAAAAACCCTAGAGTTTGAAGGTGTTGTGCCATCAAATTGGCAATTTAGTGAGACATTTGAAGGAAAGTCTAATTTTTAAGAGCTTTGTTGTAATTGAGGAATTTATTTTACAAGAGGTTATGTCCTTCAAATTATAATCATCACTAATTTTCTTATAAAATGATACCTCAAAATTCAAAAAATGAGTTCAATAATGTTCATTTGCCTGCCTTTTGAGTTATTTCCTTTATCATCATTAATATTTTAAATGTTTATTAATCGATGAGCTAAGGTGTTTGTTACATTATAACCTAACCGAAGTTGATTTTTGGTAGATAAAGCTACAAAGAACATTGTTGTAGATTTAAACAATGTTAAAATTTAATCCAATATTTAGAGTACCAACATCCCTTAAACTATTTTAACAATCAATCAAGTTAAAATTTAATTTTGTCCTTTCTAGGTATAGAAATTTAGTGAAGGTCGAAGGGTTCTCGTGTTTATAACAATTTTGTAGTGAGAATTGATGATAAGGATAAATCTATAATTGTGGTGTTACAGGTGGACTTCACAGAAATGGGATTGATTTAATTAAGCTTGATCTCTTTGGGTATCGAGATTTATGTACTCATATACAGTGCGTGTTATTATTTGTAATTTTCTTTAATAAAAATAAGATAGAAAAGAAGATATTAGAAAACCCTTCTCGATCAACACGAGAGGAAAACATATACTTATGATATTCCTCAACAACTTGATCCGTTCTTTCGTGTTTTTCTCTTCATCAATTGTAGACTTATCATTGTGTTCTTTGCTATCGGTTGGATGTTCCCTTATTCTTCGTTTTGACACCGTACTCTACTTGCTCAAGGGTTTTTGATGGGGATATATATGGAGATCATGCAGTGTCTTGTGCTGAGATGGAGGGTATTAAACATCGGCACAACGTTGTTCGTGATACCCTTGTTGATATTTGTTTTCGCTCTGGGCAGGATCTCTGCAAGAAAGGACGTTAACATTGGGTTGACTATAGGAAACGAGGGGGCTCTCACTACTAGAAATAGGTCAATTTACGACGGACTAGTTCCGACGGACATTAAATCCGTCGGAAAGTTCTGACGGATTTAAAATCTGTCGGAACTTTCCTATCGAATTTCTACGGAATACAAATCCGTTGGAATTTACGGGTATTCCGACGGAATTTCCGTCGGAAACTGTATCTTCCTACAGAAATAAAATCCGTCGGAACGTTCCGAGGGAATTAACCGTCGGAAAGTTATGTTTCCTACGGAAATAAAATCCATCGGAATGTTCCGACGGAATTTTCCGACGGAAAATTCCGTCGGAATTCAATTAAATAATAATAAAAAAAAAAAACTTAAAAACCCTATAAACTTTGCTCCTCAGCCGCCCAAAGCCCCTTATTTCCCCCTCTCTCTTCTTCTCTTCCTTTTCTCTCTCCTCTCCTCCCTGTTCTCTTCTCCCTTTACTCATCTCTCCTCCCTGTTCTCTTCTCTTCCTCCTCCCTGTTCTCTTCTCTTCTTACTCATCTCTCCTCTCAAACTTACTCCACTCTTCTCATCCCCTTTCACTATCCTCTCTGTTTCAATACCAACAACAACAACGCAAAAAAAAAATGGTAACCAATGCAACAACGACTTAGCAATTACGGCTTCACCGGGCAACCAAGCAACAATCACAACGGACATCAACAAATTTGAAGAACAATTTTTTGAATCTTTCGTTTTTATTTTTCTGATTTTGATTATAAATTTGTAGATCTGGTTTGTGTTTATTCGATTTTTTGCTAGGATTTTGATTTTCCTACTTTTGTATTATTCAATGTATATAATAGATTTGTTATTGTTCGATTTGTGGGTTAGATCTGTTTTTTTTTGTTTTGTTAATATATTAATTTTATTTTAATAACGATTTTCTGATTTTATTTTCGGTTTTTTGGGTGGTCTAATGGGGTGTGAAATACAGTGGGTGGGGGTGAAATACGGTGGGTGGGTGGGTGGGTGGGTGGGGGAAGAAATATGGTGGGTGGGTGGGGTGTGAAATACGGTGGGTGGGTTGGGGGTGAAATACGGTGGGTGGGTGGGTGGTGTGTTGGGGTGTGGGCTGGTTTGGTGGGGTGGGTGGTGGATTTTTAGGGTGGTTTCGGTGAGGTGGGTGGGGGGTCTGGGTGTGTAGGGGGTCTGGGTGTGCTGGGGGGTTGGTGGTGGTGTGCTGGTGGCGGGGGTGGGATTGGGCAGGTGGGGTGGGGGGCTGCTAGGGGTCTGTGGTGGGGGGGTGGGTGGTGGTAGGCTGGTGGCGGGGGTGGGTCTGGGCAGGTGAGGTGGGCTGTTTTTTTTTTTTTTTTAATTTTTCCGACGGAATTTTCCGTCGGAAAATACCACCTCCGACGGAATATTCCGTCGGAAAATACCACCTCCGACCGAATAGTCTGTCGGAAAATCTCCCCCACCGACGGAATATTCCGTCGGAAAATACCGCCTCCGACGGAATATTCCGTCGGAACCTTGCGACGGATTTTCACTGAAAGTCAACAAAAGCGCCGACAGAACAAATTCTGTCGGAATAGTCCTTTCCAACGGAATTGTTAGGTTTACAGTGAATTTCTAACAAGAAGTCACTAATAATATCAAGAAATACTTAATAAAATGTGTGGGAAACAAAACCTAATTGATATTATTACAATACAAAGTAATTTAATTAAACAAACACAACAATGGTATTCCAATCAAGTATTATAATCTATGAAATTACAGAAATTTCAAAGGAAACACTAGTATGAAGACTTAAACACTTGCCTAAACTCTAAGCCGATTAACGAACACATGAACATGAGAATCGCAATGTCCCTTGAGACTATGATCTTGATACACTGTCAAAGGCGTATGAATACTTTCCTAAAGGGATTAATTTCCCCCACACGGTGCTTGGGTTGATCCGGAAATTCCCTTTGAGATACAATTGACAGCACTTTCCGTTCTTCGCACAAAGAATCGAAAACCGATGGATGATTCACAATGAAGGCTAAAATCAAGAGGTTTTTCTCAAAATAGTTTGCAAGAAAATTTAGAGAAAAATGGAGAATTCTTGGGGAGAAGAAGAGAGAATAAAGTTCTGTCCCTATTCCTTTCGAAAATAACATTCTATTTAAAAAATAGAATCAACCGTCGCATGAAACCGCAAAACGGCAAGAGGCGCGGGCGCTCCACCAGGAGGAGCGGGCGCTCCTCAAGGTGGAGCGGGCGCTCCTCTGCTGGAATCCCAACTTTCTAAATTTCCAGAAAGTTGACGCGATTTATGCGCGGTTTAGGCGCGGGTCGCGCCATGCCATGACGCGGGCGCGCCAACTGGAGGCGCAGGCGCGCCTCCAAGCTTTTCCAGATTTTCCAGAAACTTATCGCGGTTTATGCGCGGTTTTGTCGCGGGTCGCGCCTATCTGGCGCGAGCGCGATTCAAAAGAGCGAGCGCTCCTCCGACACTCTAAATTATCAACAGGAATTTTTGACGAAATATCGCAAAATACCTACAAAGGGTCTTCCGACAATGCTTTCCGACGGAATTCCGTCGGAAATGGGCATTTCCGACGGAATTTCAGGGTTTTTCGACGGATTTTTTCGGTCGTTGATTGACTGTTTTCTAGTAGTGTCTTCGACCAGCAGATGTGTTGCTTTATTCCTGGGATAGAGGCCTTGATGTTTGTGTTGACTTGACGGGTCTTCCCCTTTGACACAATCTAGGTTGTCTGACTTCGTTCCTGGTCGTGTTGTGTCGGCTGCGGCTCAGCGGAAGCGAGACAAGTACGGGGCGCGTTGCAGGGTTATTGGATATGGTTTTCTACCTTTCTCCTTTTCTTCATTGGGGGAATTAAAGAAGAATGTTGTTAGGTTGCTGAAGCGGGTTCAGGCGTTCGCTAGGACTCAGGATATTGGTGCTTGTGCAGCGGCTCACATGATCGGGTTCGCTATAGCTAGAGGGGTGGGAGCCCAGATTGTATCTCGGCTCCCCTCTAACTTCTTGTAAATCGTTTGACTTTGTAGGTTTTTGTTACTATAATAATAATAATAATAATAATAATAATAATAATAATAATAATAATAATAATAATAATAATAATAATAATAATAATAATAATAATACAACAACAACAACAACAACAACAACAACAACAACAACAATAATAATAATAATACAACAACAACAACAACAACAACAATAATAATAATAATAATAATAATAATAATAATAATAATAATAATAACACCTTCTGGATTGCTTGAGTGGTGCTGCAGTTGCTATTTCAGATGAGTTGGTGGGCTCTATTACGCAGGTGGTTAATCTCTTTCTCGCAGGGAAATGTCCTGCTGAGTTGGGGAGTATATTGCTAGTGCTCCTCTCACGCCACTTGTTAAGCCCGGTGGTGCTATTCGGCCTATTGTTGTGGGTACTGTTTGGCGGCGTCTGGTTTCAAAGGTTGGGGCTGCTTTAATTGGTCTGCGTCTGGGAAACTATTTAGGAGGTCTTTAGTTTGGTGTTGGGGTGCCGGCGGGTGGTGAGACTATTCTTCATGCTGTTAATCGTTTGGTTGAGGCTCGTAGTGGTGATGTAGGCCTCTCTATGTTGCTGGTGGATTTCCCGAATGCCTTTAATTTGGTTGATCGTACGGCTTTACTGCGTGAGGTCCGTCTCCGTTGTCCAGCTCTCTCGCGTTGGGTTGAATTCTGTTACTCTTCTCCAGCCAGGCTGTTTTATGGGGAGCATACCTTAAGGTCATGTCAAGGTGTGCAGCAGGGTGATCCTCTTGGCCCTTTGCTTTTTGCTTTGGTGCTCCATCCGTTGGTTTGTCGAATCAGGGATTCTTTCGACTTATGCTTGCAGACTTGGTATTTGGATGATGGCACTATTATTGGTGACACTTTGGTGGTAGGGAAGGTTATGGAGTTGATTTTGGTGGAGGGACCTCGTCTCGGTCTCCATGTTAACGTTGAGAAAACGGAAGTTTTCTGGCCCACGGAGGACCCACGTAGCCGTCTGGCCGGTGTCTTTCCTCTAGATATTGCTTGTCCTATTCATGGTGTTAAGTTGCTTGGTGGTCCCGTCAGTGTGGACGCCTCTTTCTGTGGTGAGCTTGTTTCGCAGAGAGTGTCGAAGACCATTGTGCTCATGGATGTTGTTGCTAAGCTTGAGGATCCCCAATGTGAGTTGTTACTGCTTCGTGCGTGTACTGGGGTTTCAAAACTCTACTTTTCTATGCACACTTGTCCTCCTCGTCTTTTTGAAGCGGCCCAGATTTCTATTGATGTTGCCCTTTGGGGTTCTTTGGAGCGCATTGTAACTGCTTCGGGGCCAGGTTTTGGTGATTGGCAATGGCGACTTGCCACCTTACCTTTTTCTTATGGTGGATTGGGTGTCTATACAGCGGGTGATGTTCGACACTATGCTTTCCTTGTGTCGCGTTTGCAGTCTTCTGGTCTTCAGGCTTCACTTCTTCGCAATTCTGGTATTGTTGGTTCAGGTCCGGCCTTCGATGGCGCTCTTAGTCTTTTTAATAGGACTGTGGAGACTGACCTTTTGCGTAACCCTAGTGAGATCGTTGCCCCCAAACTCATGAAGAAATTGGCAGATATATATTTCACGAAGGTCACTGCATCTGTAGAATCCACTTTCTCCTTATCTCAGCGTCAGGTTACCTTATGGAAGTCCCAGCAGGGGGATCACACTTCTGCCTGGTTGCGAGCGGTCCCGATATCAGGTTTGGGTCAGACTATGAATGGTAAGACTTACCGTTGTGTTCTTTGCTATCGGTTGGATGTTCCCTTGTTCTCCGTTTCGACACCTTGTTCTGCTTGCTCAAGGGTTTTCGATGGGGATATTTTTGGGGATCATGCAGTGTCTTGTGCTGGGATGGTGGGTATTAAACATCGGCACAACGTTGTTCGTGATACCCTTGTTGATATTTGTTTCCGCTCTAGGATTTCTGCAAGGAAGGAGGTCACCGTTGGGTTGACTGGAGGGAACGACGGGGCTCTTCGACCAGCAGATGTGTTGCTTTATTCTTGGGATAGAGGCCTAGATGTATGTGTTGACTTGACGGGGTCTTCTCCATTGACACAATTTGGGTTGTCTGACTTCGTTCCTGGTCGTGTTGTGTCGGCTGCAGCTCAGCGGAAGCGAGGCAAGTATGGGGCGCGTTGTAGGGCTATTGGCTATGGTTTTCTTCCTTTCTCCTTTTCTTCATTGGGGGAATTAGAGAAGGATATTGTTGCGTTGCTGAAGCGGGTTCAGGTGTTCGCTAAGACTCAGGATATTGGTGCTCGTGCGGCTGCTCACATCTTCAACAAGATTGGGTTCGCTATAGCTAGAGGGGTGGGGGCCCAGATTGTATCTCGGCTCCCCACTAATTTCTTGTAAATCATTTGACTTTGTAGGTTTTTGTTATAATAATAATAATAATAATAATAATAATAATAATAATAATAATAATAATAATAATAATAACTATATACTAAAAGACACACCAATAATGACACATGTCAACTCCTGGTGTGTCCTTGGTATTTTTTTTTTTTGAAACAGAATAAAGTTTTGTTAAAGAAACAAATCTTATACAAAAATAATTCCCTTATTTTATACAATATAATTACTTAAGATAATTTTTTTTGACATATTTATATAGCTATAAAAAAACATTCTTAACATAATTTTGATCATTTTCTACATTTTATATATAACATATCTTTCATATCCTATATTTTGTTCAAAATTTATCAACTATATATTTAGATTTTTTTTTCTTGTTTATAAAGAACCAATTATAATAATAGTTTAATAATGATTATTAAAAATTACCGTGCATGACATGAGAACTAACCTAATAATTTTCTATTTAATTTGTGTACCCAATGAAAAAATCAATACTACAAGAATTTCCTTTTTTCTTCAAAAAAGAATTTCCTTAAAACAAAATAATACGGAGTAATCCATAATTAGAATTTTTCCTTCAAATATAACACTCTGAATCTCTGGTTGGTATAGTAGTCAATAATAGCAGAAAATATGGATCACAAATCAAGCACTATTATAGGTAAAAAAAAAAAAAAAAAAAAAAAACAAAAAACAAAGTCCATTAATTTCTTACTTTCCTTCTAATTTTGATCCATGTATCTTAATATTAGCAGAAAAAATGGGATCACAAACAATCAACGCTTTATATATTACCTTTTTTACTTGCGATTTTATGTACTCTACTTAATAAGTGTTTTGTCCTTTATCAAAAAAAAAAAAAGTAAAAAAAAGAAAAAAAGAGCATAATAACTTAATAAGTGTTCTAGAATACTTACTTTAAATGAAATTTAAGTCAAACAAGAAAACAATTTTTTTACATTTGATTATATGTGATATTACAATCTCACTAAAAAATTTCTTTGCATTTACTTTTTATTTTTAATTGTTTGCTAAAAAAATGTCATATTTTTCTCAATATGTATTTGGATTTCTTGCTATCATGGCCTTTGTTACAAAGGTAGATTGTCAAGGTTTGACAGATGCCCATGCAACGTTTTATGGTGATATGATGGGTCATGAAACTGGGAGTGAGTTTTCTTGAAATATTAATACTACTTAAATAAATACTTTAATTTCTCCATTTCTTTTTATTCAACTTAATTACTATCGATAAACAATTCAAATATATATAAGTATTGAATAATGCAGGGGAGCCAGTGGCGGATCCACGAAAGCCTTGAAAAAAAAAAAAAATGTTGTTCAAAGAGAGCCATTCTCTTAAATAACAGGTTTCTAGGGGCCTAGCCCCACTCCTACACCAAAAAAAAAAAAAAAAAAATAACAAAAACAAAAAAAAAAAAAAAAAATAAAAAATTCTTAAATAACAGGTCTCTTTGAGGCTATTATAACAAATGTTTGCTTTTTTATAGCTTTCCATGTTAAAAGAAAAGAGACCAATTATATAAAAAAACAGGTCCCTAGGTTCTCTTTTTTTTTTTTCTTTTTTTTTTTTTAATTGAAACAAATTACTTTTATTTTATATTTGTACATATTTTTTTTTTAAAGACTCTCATTTAAGTTATAAAAAATTATAAAGTAGTAGAATTTAAAATTTAAATTATCAAATGTATATACTTATACTTTAATCCAAACATGAAATGAAATGAGTAACTTATTATTCTTAAGAACTCCATTATTGATGAAATTCTTCCCATTTTTGTTGCACTTTTCGATGCACATATTTATTTGGTAAGTAATATATATATTTACTATTTAGTTTCATATGAGTAAATCAATAATTTATATTAAATAAATAATTTTTTTAGTTTTATATTTACCTTATGAATAGTAAATACGGAAGATACATACAAAAATATACCATTAAATATATGGAATACTTTTTAATATGATCATATTGATAATTAGAATATAATTTATTCCATATTTGTGAAATGAAAATTTATCTACCAAAATGAATTATTAAATTTTAAAGGCTAATTATTAAACGATAATACTAGTATATATATATATATATATATATATATATATATATATATATATATATATATATATATATATATCTTTTTTCTAATTTTTTCCCCTTATTATTCTATGCTACCCTAGTTAGAATTCTTGGATTCGCCACTGAGAGGAGCAATGTGAGTGTTTTTCTATATATTAATCATGTTACACGAAATGGCAATGGGGTTGCCCACTTGTCTGATCTGCTAGATTAGTTCCTGCTAATGGTGTAGAACAATCTTTTGTAAACTATTTCCCCCAAGGCATTTTAGCTCCGGTGGAATTGGACTCTAGCTGGTTGATTTAATAATATTGCTTCTTTGTTCCCCCCCCCCCCCAAAAAAAAAAAAAAGTATTGAATAATATGAGTGGATGTAAGATAAAGTAAGAGAAATAATAATATCTAAGAAGATAGACTAGTGTAAGAAAAAGGTTGATAGAATTAGAGATCGAGTGTGTAGTAATGTATTAATTTGGGGTTAAAGGGGAAGATGGTGAAAGGGGTAGGCTAAAGATGGAATAAAGCTAAGTAAAATGAATAGAACAAAAAAGGATGAGGTTAAATGAAAAATGAGTAGAACAAAAACAGCGAAGGCACATTTTCATCAACTGTGATTCTGAGCACGTGCAAAGTGAGTGATCGCATAGTTGATAAATAATTTAATTTTTATTTTATCATAAAGTTAATAATTTAGTTTTGTTAATAAAACTCATATGTATATTTTTAAATAATGATTTTGAAGCCCAATATTACAAAGTTGCACCGCCACTCTGGCGGTCTGCCAGACCATTATCATGCACAGTTAGCATTTCATATGTAGTCCTCCTCTATTTTTCATCCCATAATTTTCTTAATAATTTTTATATAAAATTGGCATAAATTTGATATATCATTAGGATAATTCTCAAATGACTACTTTGCAAAAGTTAAACTAAAGCTACATATTATAGAAGCTACAAATTATGAATACATGTTTAAATGAGTAATTGTAATCTATATTTCTTTTTTATTTTTTGGTTGCATGGAGCCATGCAGAGGGTGCTTGTGGTTATAGTACGTTAACGCAAGGACATGGATTATAAACAACAGCTCTTAGCACAGCACTTTTTTCAAAGGGTGCAACTTGTGGATCATGCTATAAAATTCAATGTATAAATTCAGAATGGTGCAAACCTGGCCTAATCAAGGTTACGGCCACCAACTTGTGTCCGCCTTCGACTGAGGCATGTAATCCTCCATTGCACCACTTTGACTTAACGGAATCCATGTTTGTCACAATTACTAAGTACAAAGCTGGTATAGTACCTGTGCAATACAAGAGGATACCTTGCGCTAAGCAAGGAGGTGTCAAATTTCTAATTAATGGAAACCCTAATTTTCTTTTGGTATTAGTCTTCAATGTTGGAGGTGCCGGAGATGTTATAGACATGAAGATCAAGGGTTCGGGCAATTGGGTGCAAATGGCGCGAAGTTGGGGTATGAATTGGCAAGTTGGTGGTTCGGGTTGGATCAACCAATCCTTGTCCTTCCAAGTGACTACTAGTGATGGAGAATCGTTAGCGTTTGAAGGTGTTGCACCACCAAATTGGCAATTTGGCCAGTCATTTGAAGGAGAAGATAATTTTTAAGAGGCTAAGATTATATTCACTTTGTCTCTATAAGTTTTTCATGTCCGAATAGTGATTTTCTTATTAAAAAAGGCAATTATATGTAGAACGAAGTTTAAGTGAAGGAGGGAGCGAAATATGATTCAATGCAATAACGTTCATTAGCCTATTGTATCCTTCTTCATCATTAATTTTCCAGCGATACGATTTTTAAGGATCGTTAAAAAGTTACTCTAAAATTTCTTTATGTTTTGATCAAGTATAGTCATAGGATAATTAACCGTAGCTAGGTGATGTAAAAAAACTTCATGGAGATAAATCCAGCAGGAAATCCATGACGTAATATCCAACTATACTTTTCTTTCTTCACTGTTTAATTAGTTTAAATAAATTCAGATAAGATAAATTAAGAGTTAATATGTTTAAATGACATAAGTGTTGATAAGTTTAAATAAAATAAGATAAAGACCAATTGTATTGAACCATAGGAATACTTGGTTTTCGAATTTTCCTACTTGTATTGTAGGTTGAACCTGTTTTTATTTATGACCTTTCTATTAGGGATGTCAATGGGACGGGGCGAGGCGGATGTTGGCCTTCCCATCCCCATCCTCATCTAAAATTGTCATCTCCATCCCCATCTCCATCCCCGCGGCGGGTCTAAAATTCATCCCCATCCCCGCCCCGGTGAGTACAATTCCAAAACCATCCCCGCCCTAACCCCCACTTGGATATCCACCCCCACCTAATCCCCACCTAAGACCCGCCTAATCCCCGCTTCCCAAATACACAATCCTTCATAATTAATAAAAATTGCAAAAAGAAAAAAATTATTGTTAATATTACACATTTTTTTATATAAGTGTATTACAAAGTACTATATTTACTATTTTATTTTACATAATTTTTTTTATAAAATAGTATAAAAGTATATAATTTTATTTTTAAAAATATATAGATGTGGGGATGGGGCGGGTACGAAGTGGGGCGGGGATGGGGCGGGTACAACCTGAAATCCACCCCCGCCCCATCACCCCTGGCGGGTATGGTTTTTATCCTCATCCCCGTCCCATCACCCGCCAAACCAACAGGATGGGACGGTTCTCCTATTTGACCCGCCCCACTGACATCCCAACTTCCTATGAATAAAATTAAATCAAATTATTCCATCGATTGTCACGAATGTGCAAAAATGAGCTAATGAATGAGGTAAAATTAAAAAGTAAACAAAATGATATTGCCTTAACCACTAAAGGAAATAATCATTTTTTTAGGGAAAAAAGGGAAATAATCCTTGATGATTTATGGAAATTGGCTAAGAACCACGGTTGATTTATGGAAATTGGCTAAGAACCACTGTTTATACACCGTACCAATGAATGAGAAGAGGTTTGTTTTTTTAAAAAAATGGAGGGTGCATCCGTATATTTTATATATAGGATAGATATTTGTGTACAAATATAATTATACACATACTTTAAAAAAAAAATACATTTATACTTATTTCAGATTAAAAATAAACTTTTAATAAATTCAAATATAATTAAGTAAATTTGGAAATAATAAATACGGATAAAGATTCATAAGGGTTAAGATAGATAAATACAATGCATATAAACAAGAATTGCAGATGTTTCTTTTCTTGAGAGATTATCAATCGTAAACTGAAAATAGAGTTGGAGGACATGACATTAACCTCCAGATGTTCAAGGTCTTCATATTGTTATGTGGCTGATAGATGAGCGATGATAGTTTATTAGTTATCATATCAAATAAAAATAAGGATTTCAGTTTTGGAGAGAGTTTATCATCGAGTTTGTTAATATTTCCTTATTAGCATGTCAGCCATTTATTGTCATAGATTGATAGTCAAGCTTTCACTACTTAATTAAGTTCGGACTTTGATACAAAGTATTCTTATCTCTGTAGTGTATGATAGGTTAGTTTGAGTTAATTAATGTACCAAACCTCTCTTTATCTAATAAAATAACACATCTTTCACTGATAGAAATTATTTGAAAGTAAAAATTACACTGGCAAAGTAAAAATTACACTGGCATATAATATGTTAGATCTATATTAAAATGTAATTTTTTGATACTTTAGCAATGACCAATTTTAATTAAAAATTTGATCAATGTTAGGGTTGGTGAGTGCATAGCGAAAGTAAATTAAAAGACACACAATATTTAACATGAAAAAATTCTTTTAAAAAAACCCACAAACGACGAGTAGACTCGTGTATAGATATGGCTTTTTGTGTGTATGTTGATTGAATGCCTATAACCTATATTTATAGTTGAAGATAGAGGTTGGAAGAAATGGCTAGAAGATTCCATAACTTCTTTCATCTTTCTTGTAGCCATATGTTCTAGAATTTTCACGAACCATATTTCTAGTTGTTTCTAATGTCAAGAATTCTCTAAAACGTTAAAGTTGATAATTTTAGAGAAAATATGAGCAAGAACTAACATTGCTTGATTTTTTCGAAAGCTTTAAGAATATGCACAAATATTCCACCGTACCAAAACAGTGGGCTTAACCACACTCAACATATCATAAATAAAAAAAAAAAAAATGTGGCATATGTAAATTTCTTCTTGATAAATATATGTCCTATGCTTTAGAATATATCACATGAAACTATGAAAGTAATAACTTAAATACGTAGTATAAAAATAAATATAAAGTCGTGCGCTTGTATATATTTCATCTTAGTTTTATAAAATTGACATCATGTAAACCTAAATTATTTTTAAATTGAACCCTATTTATATGATTATCTAACCTTATTTTTAGAATCAATATAAACTAGCCCTATATGCACGCGATGCATATATTAAAAATTTACTATCAATTTGATCGATAATACAATGTTAAAATAAGATTTTGAAATATAATGTAATAAATTTACAAAAAATATATATATTACAATTTGAAATAAATAATCATGCTAACTAATTTGTATAACCAAAAATATATTTTGGCATTTATGAGCATTCAAAAAAGTAGAATAAAATTGTGTGTTCTTTTAATTCTAATGGTCAAAACTCAATATTAGCAGAAAAGATGGGATCACAATCAAACATGATTAATTTCTTTTAATATAAAAAATCCCAATAATTTTACTTTCCTTATAATTATGATGCAGTTATCTCAAATTCTCAATACTAGCAGAAAATAAGGGATCTTAAATATTAAACCTGATATTGTTCCTTTTTTACCTTGTGATTTATTTAATCTTAATTAATGTATTGAAACAATCCCTTCTCAATTTTTTAATTTAAAATTGAAGTCAACAATATGACTATTTCTTTACTTTAGAATGCAAGATTATCATAAATATAGGCATTTTATAATTTAGTATTCTAACAGCAAAATAAGAGCACTAGCTAATTAGGCTTTCTTCTACACAACTATTGTAATAGCATAATTATTTTTGCAATGGGTGATTCTCAATTATTAGCTGGTTATTATGTAGTAATATTAGGGCTAATTTTTGTTACAACTAAGGGATCAAATGATATCAATCATGGTGGACATGGCTGGCATTTCGCTCATGCAACGTTTTATGGTGATATTAACGGCGGCGATACCATGTGTAAGTTTTCTTGTTTGTCTACTACAGTATAATATTAGTAAACATACATGTTGGTTATGCAATTTGAATTAGTAACGTGTCAACTAATAAATTTGGATGGAAGGAGTATCGACTACCATTTGTTTTGTTGGGTTTATGTTTGTATTTCAAGGATTATCTTATTAATATTATAATTGTAAATCTTATTAATTCATGATGTTTGTTATAAATTTGTGCTTGTTTAAATTAATGAGTGTTTTTGAATCAGATTTGTGCAATGCAATTTTTATCTAAATGTCATTAAACCAGATACTCCCTTCGTTTCACAATGTTAATTCCATATGGAATCAATCATACTACCTCCGTTTTTTTTTTATGTGCAACTTTGGAATATTTTATGTCTCACAAATATTCCTCAAAGTTGCACATAAAAAAAACGGAGGTAGTATAAAATAAGAAAAGAAGAATATTTGGAATCTAACATTAAAGTACAAAATAAATCATAATTAGTTTACCTTATTTAAATTTTTAAAATTCTTTTTTTGGGAAAGTGTAAGTCATAATTGTATAATTCAAATTAGAGATTTCCTTACTTAGAGTTATGTCATCAATCCACAAACAATTAATTCTAAAAAAATTAAGTTAAAAATGAAACATATTCAATATGGGTGGATCTTTTTTAAACACCCAAACTAGTATATGGGACTAACATTATGAAATGGATGGAGTGATATTTATTTGTAAAAATGAATTGGAAAAAAAAAAAATTGTAGTGACACTAAATGTTGGTGAACATAGGATGTATTTTCAATTTATAACTGATTTTAATGTCTTAGTTGTTTTGTTTTAAAAATATAATTATAGGTTCTTGATTTCGAACTGTGCATCTTTTTAGTTATGGTATGAATCTTGTGACGCGGAGTAATTTTTGTGAGGTACAATACCTACACTTTCTCTTGCTTTTTTTTCGCATATTGTTTAAATTTTTGTGCAAATTAAATTCATTTGTTAAAAGTCATCAGCAACAATGCAACATAAATACCTGGTATGATGTAATTTTTTTTTGTTTTTTTTATCAGGCGGTATGATGTAAAATTTACCAAAAGAAAAATGGATATTTTGACTTTTTTTTGTGTTCCACCCGGTCATCTTATGGGTTAATCCGGATTTGGGGTTCAAATCTGGGTGGTTAGGGTCCTTCCTACCAAGTGCAGCCCCAATTACCACTGCACCAACATTCAATTTTTAATAGTTGTGAATAATACACTAGCCAAACGTTCCATTAGTCCTTTACATAAATGTTATAGCAAATGATGATGTGGTTACAATTAACCATATAATTAACTTTTCATGCATGAATTTAATATACACAGATGGTGCATGTGGGTACGGTGACCTATTCAAGCAAGGTTATGGTCTAGAAACAGCAGCACTAAGTACAGCACTCTTCAACGATGGAGCTGCTTGCGGAGCGTGCTTCCAAATAACTTGCATAGACTCAAAATGGTGTAAGCAAGGGGCTCGTCCAATTCGAGTAACGGCCACTAACTTTTGCCCTCCATGGTATGAAGAAACACCGCAAGCATGGTGCAATCCACCACGAAAACATTTCGATTTATCGATGCCTATGTTCCTAAAGATTGCGGAGTACAAAGGCGGTATTGTTCCGGTTCTTTATAGAAAGGTGAAATGCCATAAGAAAGGAGGTGTTAAGTTTGAGCTTAAAGGAAATTCATATTGGTTGATGGTTTTGGTTTATAATGCTGGTGGTGTAGGGGATGTTGCTGGGGTGAATATTAAAGGATCAAAAACAAGTTGGACACAAATGACCCGTAATTGGGGGCAAAATTGGCAAACTTGGACGAGGTTGGATGGTCAAAGTCTCTCATTTCAAGTGTCTACTAGTAATGGTAAGACTTTTCAATTTAACGAAGTGGTACCAGCTGATTGGCAAATAGGTCGTACATATGAGAGTAGAAAAAATATGCATTAGTTAACAATTGTGTTTAGTTGGAAGATTAATGGCTAATAGATTGAAACTTTTAGTTTAAATATAGTCATAGTTGTTTGTTATTGGAAAATTAATGGCTAATGGATTGAAACTTTTAGTTTAAATTTCAAGCAATGACATGTAATGTGTTTACAATTTTACTATCAAAAAGGCTTTAACTAGATATTTTTGTTGTTGTTTGATCACCTGTAAAATTAGAAGCCAAACCCAAATAAAACCATCAAAAAGCCATTCACCAAACATGACCTTTCTAGCAGAAGAAAGCTTATTTGCTACGTTTATAATAGTATTAACTTTAGGAAATATTTCATGAACACCAATCGTTAATTGCTACGACTACCACCACCTTACCATTAGACACTATCTATAAAATCTATGCATTTGATAATTTCATTCTTCTACAATTACCTAAACATCATTAGTTGTGAATTGCATGTCCTATCTTAAAACAGGGCATTAAAAGGTAAAAATTCCCTATGTTGGTACTCTTTTGTTTATTTTTATTCCATTTTAACTCTGTCGAATTAAGGAGAGAAAAAACTAACAAATTTGTTAAGCAAAAAGCCAATTTAAGAGAAAGTAGGAAGATCACAATACTTTTAAACGAAAAGTAAGAAGATAAAAGAATGAATCGATTAAACCAGTTCCAATTCCTCAAAAGTCAATCGGAGTTTGTCCCTAACATCAAAATGGAAAGGACCACCAAAACATATTAGAGATGATACAAATTCTCAATAAAAACCAACTTAATTAAACCATTTTTTTCTCAGCCACATTATCAAAATTTGAAATTACAATCGAGGATTCAAAAACAGTTCAGTATACAATGTACTCCGTAGTATTTTGGTATTTGTCATAGATCATAGTCGTATTTAGATTATTCACAATCAAGCTTTTCATACACAACCACTCAATTTGTAACATATTCACATAAAACAAGCAAAAAATTATACAAGTATTAATAATAAGACTAACAATAAATAATACTTTAATAAAAATTAATCAATTAATTAATAAATAAAGGGAAACTAACATCTAAAAATCAGCGGGAAACAACAGGTTTGTCCATCCTGTTCCAACAATCAAATCTCGCTGAACTGCAGCTGAGTTCCAAGAAAAACCAATTACTTAGCTGCAGCATCTTTCTGATAAATACAAAGAATAACTCATTTCCTTTCATTGTGAAAAAAATTGTTCACAGGCAGCAATTTCACTGACATTTCGCAAGAAATTGCTCTTGAAAAAACAAATTTCAAGGAAAAGTGTGTTGCTGCCATCACTATAAGCTACTTTTTTTACAAGTCTGGTCAGTGGAAGAAATGAACTCTATTACCTAAAGAATTAGTAAGATCCTAACTACTGAGTTACCATATACAGTGATCGAGGTATATATCAGGATGGGTTATCTACATCAGCTTTGCAGAACTTCCATGAACCATCATCTTGCCGTCGCAGAAGGTAGCTAATTTTATAGGTGCTGCAGCCATATCAAAACAAAAATGTGAATACATTTCAGCCACTTAAAATGGAAAGAGAGAGAAAGAGAGAAAAAAAAGAAACAAAAAAAAAAACACATGTTCAATTCAAAACGAGATTTTAACATACCTTGCCTACTAAGAACTTTTAGATTACTAACCATAGGGTATGTAGCTATGAATTATATAATAATTCAAAATTTAAGAACCTATTTTAAGTCTGAGATTATTAGCTAGATCGTGTATCTCAAATCTAATTATATTCAATTTGGGTTGCGTCCAGCACAAACTTCTTTTGGGAAGGATTTTATAAGCTGCTGCACCCTTCCCAGAGTTTATTCGCCTCACCCAAAGCCAAATTGGGGAAGAGGGTCTTCTTATATGCTTCGTTTTCTCTCCTCTGATCTTCTGCACTCTATTAATTTTCCCAGTCTCTACCATTTTCAGGCACTTAACACTATGTTTGGATAGCAATGGTGAAGGGAAAGGGAGGGGAAGAAAGAAGAGGGAAGGGGAAAGAAAGGAAGGGGACGGAGAAAGTGAGGTTACATTTTCCCTCTAAATCTTTTCAATATGGGAAGGATTTGGTTCATTGAAGAGGGAGGGAAAATCAATCCTTCCATTTCTCTCCCTTTCTCTCCCTCTATGTGATACCCAAACAAGGGGCCATGAATCCCTCCCTTTCTTTTCTTTTCTTTTCCCTTTATTTCCCTTTATCCAAACATAGTGTTAATATCAAATTCAAAGTATTGTTTAGATAGAAAGATATTAAAGGAAAAGAAGAGAAGAGAAAGGGAGGGGGACAAATTCTCTTGTTTGGATAAAGGATTGGGGGAAGGAAGGGGAAGGAGAGGGAGGGATCCATTTTCCCTCTCTCTTTAATAAGCATAATCCCTCCAAAATTGGAGAGATTTGGAGGGAAAATGGAGCTCACCTCCCCCTCCCTTTCTTTTCCCTTCCCTTCCTCCTTTTCCCCTCCCCTTCCTTTCCTTCCTTCTTTGCTATCCAAACAGTTACAGTTTGTTTGGGTAATGTTAAGGGAAGGGAAAGAAAGAAAGGAAAATGAAGGAGGGACGGGAAAGGAAGGGGAAGGAAGAGGATGAGTTTTCCTTCCTAATCTCTCCATTGTTGGAGGGATCATTTTCTTAGAATTTAATCTTCCCTTTCTCTCCCCTCCAATTCCCTTCATCCCTAATTTTTTATCCAAATGAAAGAAACTCCCTCCTTCCATTCCCTTCCCTTCCCTTCCTTTCCCTCCATTTCCCTTCAATCCAAACACACTCTTAACAATGAATTTATGTAAGTGAGGATACAGTTGATGGAGTTTGAGAGTGAAGAGAAATTAACTTAAAGAACTAAATAAAAACCCTCTCCAAAAAGAAATTCAGCTAGAAAGCAATAATAGCAAATAAAAAGAGAGAAATCTGACTTCAAAATGTCCTTAGATGACTAGCATTGTTTAAAAGCACCACATTAAAGCTGAATTACTTTATATATACCTAATTGTAATAAAGTCGTATATCATCTGGCAAAAAGAAGCTATGTTAGGAATCTTAGGATAACCCATCAGTTCATGTGGCCTTTATCTGTAATTCCATATTATAGAGATATTTGCCCTAACCATCTGAACATTCACAATAAGCTTTAAAAAAAGAGGGGGCCTAATCCTGAATGTCATCTCATTTCATAGTATACTACTATACTAGCATAATACAAATTATTCCTCACAAAAACAAGCATCTAAGATATAGATATTCCTGAAATTTCCTACCTCCAGCTCAATCCAACACCCTCTTATATTTGTTTGTTTAGTAAGTTATTCCATCTACTTTATCACAGTATGTAATATGCTTGCACTTAAAAACCACTGGCTCAAATCATAGCTTCCCAACACCCTCTATTATAGCTGTTTGTTTAGTTAGTTATTCGATCTACTTTATCATAATAAGAACCATGCATGTACTACAAAATCAATTTTAAGTTACACCTCAAAGAGAATAATAGTTAATAAAACTGAGAAATAATACTAGTATATAATGAAATCATTGAGCTCAAATCTAAAAGTAACTTTATCAATATATTGACATAATCAATTGTAAGTTACACCTCAACAAGATTGAGAAGGGGAAGCCTAACAAATGGAAGGAGTGGCCGTTTATTGTCCTTTTGAAAATGTTTACAGCTTTTTATATATATATATATATATATATATATATATATATATATATATATATATATATATATATATATATATATATATATTGTCTAGTGCTTTCAGTTTTATGTGCATCTCCTCCTTGTTGCCTTATTCGTTAAAGGAAAAGAGAAGTGGGAGGTAAGATAAGTGGCTTTAATGAATTTACATCTGTGAAAGTTGCACCAAATGCAATAACAAGCCAAAACTTGGAAGTAATACCAACTGATCAAGAAAGCATGGCTAAAGCAAAGGATTTGACTCTCTGAGAAACAAATTTGGGAAAATGATGATTTAAATGCTGTCTTACCTATAGTAATTTGGATTCCTTTGTTGATTTTCTTCAATAAGCTCTGCAGCTTCCTCCAGCAGAACATCAATTTCTGCTGTTTCAGTGCCGGTGGCATCTGAGAATGTATCAGCTCGAAGGACTGATAATTGCAGCAAAACAAATCTCCAAAAACATGATTTGTCTTTGGCTGCATCTGCCAAAGCTTGCCACTGGGGAAAAAGAACACACATTTATCAAGCACATTACATATTACCAGGGGAGTTATAAGAGTCACCCATTATGAGACCCATCATAACAATACAATTATATAACCACACTGAAACGGGGCGGGAAAAGGCATTAACATAAAAATAGCCTATTTACTTCAAATTATAGTGGGTAGATAAACACGAACAAATGCCTAACACAATGAACACCATCCTGTAAATAATAATAAAGTTATAATCATTTTTGAATTGTGAATGTCAGGAGGAAAGAAGAGAACAAGACTGAATAAAAGAAATGTCTTCCAAAATCTAGAATGGTTGATATAAAATATTCTGTTATAAGCACTGCACTACCATCAATTAAAAAAAATATGGACCAAAAGTTATAGCAAAAATCTAAGGACAACAAAAGCCTTTTGATTTTCCATCTTCCCTTTGGACTTGTTGAGGGTGTTGTAACAACTAAATGCCAACAGTTATTTTGCAAATGCATAAATACCAGCAGGCAGCTAGGATGGCAATAAAGTCTGAAGCTCAATTTAAGCTAGTAAAAAAGGAGAATTATAGCTTATTCCTACCTCAAGCAGCATAGACTCATCAAGAATGTCAAAGAGCAAATGAACTTGATGATCAGGACCGAGGGCTTCAGCTTTGATTACTTGCCATTGTCTTACAAGAGCTTCAGCTTCTTCAAGAGTCATTACCCTGTCATATGCAGCAGGCACAGGAGATGATAAGCCAGCCAAGACAGACGATTTTTGCCTTTTTCCTGTGTTGGATTGATTTCTAACTCCCAGCTTCAAAGTTGATAAAAACTGCTGCATTGCTGCAGCAAAGTTGCTATGCATGCCATTATGTCCAGAGTGATCACCAAGAGATGAGCACAACGTTTTTCTATTGGCCAGTCTGGAGCCATACACACGCCCACTTTGCCTGCCCAACATCTTTGAAGTGGCAAAGACAACACAACCTAGAACTGCGACAAATGTAATACGCCCGAAAATTTTTCCTTGAGCCATCCAGCTAGTAGCAGCTTTATGATGGTAGCTACCAAGATCTCGCTTTAACTGTGGTGGTGGAGTGGCTGTTCCGGTCTGGGTGCTAGGTTTAGCTTCTTGTAATGGACTTCGCAGATTAGTTGGAGTCAACTGCTTTACAGCAGGCCCAAGATGTTGGGAGGACACCAATGAAGCAAGACGCTCATCAGACACCATTTGATCAGACAAAACAGCAGGAGATATTGTCCTGTGGTTTACGTTTGGCATAGAAGGTGACAAACCTCTACTTTGCTTGTTGCCAAAAGATTTCTTCTCCTGACCAAAATACCCAGCCTGTAGGAAAACTAAAAATGATATAGTTCACAATTTCATGAATTATATACCATCAGAATTATAATCATCTTACCAATGAAGGGGAACAATCGCGAGTATCTGAAAACAAGCACAGCACAGCATCTTTCAGCCATTTTTCCTGGCCAATATAATACAACAGGTGAGTAAAAAGTGTCAAAAGGAATACGATTACCGCCTGACTCAAAAAGACAAGATACAGTGGCATAAGAAAAAAAGAATGATCAATATCAACAAGTAATTCCAGTTTCACTAGGGAGCAGAAGGAAAGAAAAGACAACAAAATCAGTTAAACAACAGCATGACTACTGTGCTTGCCAATTAAATGCTAGAAGCTATATGCACCCTATGTTCATAATTTCTCATGTTTGACAGGACCAATGCAAACTTTATTACCCGATGGTTGTGTGCTCAAGGTGTATAAAAGCAAAATCAGGTCTTAAATCAGTCATCAAATTAAGGCTATCAACACCAGATAAGAAAATTCCAAAAAAAAATTGCTTACACACAGGAGACTAAAACAAAACTATATCATTGTCATATGATGCAGCTTAGAAAAGTGCCCAAATGTTTTTCATAATGCATCATGCCAAACTGAACTCACCAACAGACAGGTCTAAATCATCATAAAAAAGAAACCATTAATGTCAAAGGTCCGTTTAATTTTACAGGTACTGTTGAAGGTCCCTTACAGCCTATATACATGACATAATGACAAAAGGTGAAAACAAATACCATCACGACTCACAAATGATCACTAATCCTAATGACTCCTGAGTCCTGCCAACCAAAAGAAAAATAGCAAAAGAGTACAGCAATTGATCTGTAGCAAGTCTAACAAAGTAACAATTAACAGACAACCTAGAGACAACATATCAAAAATATAACATATATTTATATAAGAGCTGACATACTAATGAATAGTCTGAGGCAGGAGCATCTTTGCCTTCCTTTCCCAAGAGTGAGTTTCTAGATCCTGAATTTTTACTGGATTCAACCTGTCGAAGCCTTTCAAGAGTGTCTGCCTCACTACCCTGCAAGAAAACAATCTTGAGCATCTGACAATTGCTAAGGACACATTAATGAAGTAATAAGAAAAGGGTAAACCTGTCCAAGAAGGTGCAAGCAAAAAGCTTCTTCAAGTTTCAGGTCAACACCATCGGATGCCATCAGACACTCGCATATTGATCTTGCTTTGCTAATCTATGCAACGTGATGAGTCACAATAATTAGTGACCAACTCATTCCAGAAAAGATAACATTTCCATGAAGTTCCTAAGAATAGATTGGTATTTTAAAAACAACGGATCTCAGTAACATTGCTGAAAAGCAAAAGTCAGTTATTTTTTAAAAGTATTTTTTAATTCCAATAAATTAATTAAAAAATATCAGTTCAATATATCAATCAGAAAATATATTAGTACAAGAAACCAATCAAAATAAAATATAAAAAGGCATCCAAATATTACAACTTTTATCTAATTCGATTAAGTCTTAGTCCATAAATCAATCTATTTCTACCATCAAGGTTGTGAGAAAATTACCCAGTCTCTTTGTCTGCTAGAGAACCCAAAAGCAATATGAGCCATCAGTGCAGTGTAGAAACAGTCAAAATCAATCACAACCCTCTGATTTTGAGAACCAAGAGATTTCTTGTTCTTACGAGTCAATGCTAAATTGTCCCAGGGGATCAGATCAACAACTTCTGAAGCCGTGAGTTTACCAAGTGCATTACTCAAGAAGCAGGGCCAATCACTGACCCGGCATGAAGCTTCTACATCAAGACCTTGCCTTAGCAATTCCCGCAAAGCTGCCATTGCTCCACGCCTGCGTTCAGCATTGTCTGTAGTCTGAGGCATTGCCAACAATTCCAATGTGCAAGCAGGTGCAAGCCCTTCTAAAGACTCTTCTATCTGTAGGCAAGGCCAACAAAGAAAATACAATTATAATATATAAATGAAGTTCATTCAGCATGTCATTGTAATACACGTGAAGCATGCAACCTCTAATTGAAGGCAATGGAATGGAAGACAAAATGACACTATGAGTGATAGGAACGTCACACTTTACTTTAGGTTCATTATATTTCCTTTGTTCTTTCTTTATTTTAATACACACAAGTACAGAACATATCATTATGGGTTTATGTTTCATTCATGGTATTGTGCTTATAAGCAGGAGAATAATTGTCAGCATCTACATATAACAGTTCTGATTTAATCTATGCAATACAGCAAAAACAATAAATACGTTATTTCAGTAATAAAACATCTCAATTTTTTATGCATGTATAACTTCTCCTTGGCTGCTCAGAAACAATAATACCATCTAAAACATTAAAAGATAAAAAGCAGCAAAAGAATATCGAACATGAGAATAAACTGCAGACATTGCGAATCTTCACTCATAATGAGCTTCACAGAGTCTAAAAGCATATAGAATGATATATTTGAAGATTAGAATATCATAAAAGAAAATACTACCTCCAAAAGAAGCTTCATTTTTCCCAAGGATGTCTTACTCCTCAAAAGACATTGGGCACGAGCAAGAGCTTCAAATCCTTGCGACACTTTATTCTTCTCCAAATGGATCTTGGCAATTGCACACTTCAAGAAAGCACCTATGGTAAGAAAGGGACAAATAACAAGGCTGCTAGAATATACTGCAGCGACTCCAGATATCTTTCCCACTTATCTTACCTCTGCAAGAGCCATAGAAAGAAGTACATCATGAGCATGTGGCTTGGCATCAGGGTACAGGAGAGCTGCTCGCCCAATGTCTAAAACTAGCTTCTCTTCTCCAACCTAGGCAAATTAAATAACAAATATCAATGAAAATTCAGGACAAATCTCAAGTAGATTAAGGTTCCAACAGCAGTCGTACAATGCACCCTGGCTAAGTTTGGCAGCATAAAAAGATGCACATGCAAAAAGGTAGCTCATAGCTTCTAGAAAGAATAATTGACAAGGTATTTTTCCCTTCATATCTATTGCAAGCAAAAATATAAACTAGCCTTTCTTGGGCGTTCAATGTAGCCCAGACAAAGCAGGTCAAAACAACTGTGAGAATCCCACATCTATTATCTTACATATCTCGCTCAACAAATACTGATAAAACATAACGATAACAAAATCCAGCTCTGTCTAACATGAAGTCATAAACGATAATACCTCTTGAAGAAGGCAAAGAGCACCAGGTAACCAAGCCCACGGAATGCGCAGAGTAGATTTTGGTGGAATATTCTCTTTAATATCACCAGCATACTCCGGTTCAAAAAGGAGTTTATCTCTAACATCCATCAACAAATCCTGCAAACATAAACACAACATTGATTTTGAAATGAAAAGACATTCTAACAAGTATTCATCCTAAGTAAGCCATTCAACAAGTTACATTTACCTGACGGGATACAACAGCCTCCATTGTATACCCTTCTTCGACCTCAGCATTTTTCAGGTCCATCACAGACTTCACAATCTGATCCTTCTCTGCCTTATCAGGAACACCAATAATCTGCATAATTTAATTGCAATGTAAGTTTGCTATCCCAAATTCTCAGGTTTCAAGTGTAGGAGAGTTAACAAACTTTGAAAAAGAAACAATGAGGTTGAACTGCCTCCTTTGGCTTCAAGCCTTCAAACATTACTAAAGACAGCTACATTTAGAAAGGATACCCTCTAGGATACACAAATATAGCCACTACATAAAGTATCAGCTTGAGCAAGACAAAGATTTTGGATGAGAATCCCTCCTCCCAAATAAGCAGTATCCAAAAGTAGGTGCTATAAGGTACTCCATATATAGTAGATGACATTATGATGCTATATAATTTTTTTAAATACAACAGCACTGGTCAGAGCATAAGCCAAGAAATTAGCTGTTTGTTAGTGAGACTTAAGAGCTTTAGCATGAACTTATGCACCAAAGGGCAACAAGCCACTACTAAGGTAGCATAAAAGAAGCATGTTTTATTGCTTCAGCACTGCAAGCCACTTATAAAATCACATATAAAACGTAATATATTTTGCAAAGAGCAAATTCCATATCAAGACACAAAGAACTAGCTCAAGTGTGCCATTTTCACCTAATAGTATTTTTTGGCCACTCAAAAATGTCAATCAAACTAAGACCGATTTGCATAAGAGAATGGATCAAAAGATCTGGAGTGTCTTTCATCAGATCTGTCAGAAGTCTGCATCGCTTTGAATATTACTCCCTCAGTCCCTCTGAATCTAAATATAGCCATTCTACAATAGCTAGCAAAATTAAACCCGACACTATATAATATTATATGTTAATTGATACTATGTATTCAACATTAAATGGTGCTTTACAACTCCAATGCAAGTTTAAATCATTGTACTCAGCTTCCTAATAAATGTAAAAGTTATATCAACCAATTCAGATCAAGGAAAGTAATACACTCCTCTAGTTCACTACATAATTACAGTCCATTTCAAAAAAATCAGCAGCAGCTCCACCATTTCCCAAAGAACTATAATCTGACAATACACTCATTAACAAACGTTCACCTCGCCTGCCTCACCAAAACATCCTACAATTCTGTGAACCTAGCGTACTTTTACAGTAAACCAACCCACATTGTCACTCCCCATTCCCCACTGTTACTCTATGCACAAGCAAACATCAATCAGCAGCTCCACCATTTCCCAAACAACTATAATCCAAGAATACTCATTAACAGACTTTCACTTCGCCTGCTTCACCAACCTAGCGTAATTTTCCGGTAAACCAACCCACATTGTCACTCCCCAGTCCCCACTGTTACTCTACGCACAAGCAAACATCAATCATAGACTTAATATAATAATGTCCAACATCATCATTAGCCGAAAAATTGCAATCATGCAACCCCAATCTACACGAGAACTACAGCAATTCCTCAACAATCAGAGACAACTAACCCACATTTCAGTAAAACAAATCAAAAAAAATTGCAGCAAAAATCCAAAAAACATATAAAATAGTACTGTAACAAAAAAAATATAGCAATAAATGACTAATTTTTCAGTGAAATGAGGAGAGAAAACCTGGTAACAAGAAACGGGGATTTCAACACCGACGTGATTGGAAGTATTATGGCCATTAACATGAGCATCCAAAGCACGAAATGCCGTAGCACTAGCATTCACATTTACACTCCATCTTCTTCGTTCAACAGATCTATGGTGATGATGATGACGACGATAAATTACAGCAGCACAACAAATCAAGGAAGAAAATGACGAGAATCTTCTAGAACAATGCGAAGCTTCTGGAAGAGAGAGAAAACCACCGCCGGCGACGGTGGTGGAGGTGCCGGAGCTCCGGCGACGGGAACAGAGAGGAGAATTGAAGGAGCAACAGTGTGATGATGAAGCGATTTCTGTCAATAAAATGGGAATTGGTGCCATTGAATTTGTCGCATTTCAAACCCTAATTTTGATTTTAATGGAGTTTTAGGGAAGAAGTTGTTGCGTCATTTTGGGGAATTTTGAGGAGTGGAGTGATTGAGGGATTTCTGTGAGAGAAAAATTTGGAGGTTTTAATATTAAACTTTAAACATGTGTAAATCCTGTTATTTTTCACTCTTAAGCTAAAATTAATTTCTAGATTTTTTTAAATTTTACTTTTAAGTTCAAAATATGGAAGAGGGTGTTATGAGAGTTGAGAGTCTTGAGACTATGATAGTATGATTAGATGAAGTTATCGAGAAATTTTATTTTTATCACTTCAAAATAAATATGGTTTTCTAGTAAAAGAAAGTTGAAGGATTAATAAATTTGTAGACTTTTGATGATTAGAAAAGGTTTGAAAAGTCAAAATTTTTATGTCGGGTTTTCATTGGAATCACCTCTATTAAGGTGAAGCTAATTATTAGTGTTAAAAATTACTCACTTTTTTTTAAACGATTAGCAACATCAATGCATTAACAAAACCAAAAGAGAAAAAAGAGATAAATATTGAGTTGTAGATTTGGTCATTAGACTCATTACAATGAAGACTTAGGGACGTAGTGGCTTGGAGTGTACATGTACATCACGGAGGAATGTGGACGGCTGGGAACGAGAATACATGATCGTGTTGAAATAGCTTCCCACGTTGGTTCAATTTTGGATGAAGTTGTGTGATTATGCAACTATCTTGCACACTTGTACAAAGGAGTGAAAATTCGATGTGCTTGTGAAATCCTTCTTCGATAAGTTCACCTAATGATGCTTTAATGCAAATACATTTTTAAACCTAAAAATAAAAAGTATAATCCCATACAAGTATCAGGTTAGTGAGAAATCTCTAATATATTATATGCATTTGATTGATAAACACGAATTAGGTTTAGGAGTAAGATGAAAGCAAGAAGAAAAGATAGAAATCATCACCCCAAACCCCTTACGGTCCATTTGGAGGTGGTCATTATTGATGGTAACGAGAATAAACTTATATGTAAATTTGCAATGAAAATCAATGTTCAATTACGCAGTATTAATGCTAGCTCGGATCATCCAGTCATCCCAAATTAACCATTTTTTAAAGAAATTTTCGTTTTCACCTAACACCTCCTCCCAATTAGTAGTGGATGTTTTTCACAAAGAAAACACATGCTCGAGGATGAAAGTGCACTACCATGGGATTACAATGTTAATAACCTCCTAATTACACTTAAAAATCATTCTCAAAACCACCATTTATTACCGGCTATCAAATGGGTTTGTAGTTGTTGATCTCACGACCTTTAAATCACCTTTATCATTAGAGCAAATCTTTATTTTATAAGTGTAGTATATGAAGTAATTTGTATTAATATAATTTTACTCAATATTAGTATTACATACTCCTTAATAACTAACATAATCAAACTTGATGGAAAAAAAACTACAAATAAAAATTATGAAACTTTATATTACATAGTAATACTTCGTATCTAATTAGCAACTACTTATCTGACAAAAATAGTTTTTTTTAAAGATTAAGGACAAACATTTACAAAAATTGGATGTAAATTAAAATATTGTACATCTGATATAGAGTTACCTTAAAGTGATCAAAAGTTACCCTATAATGATTAAAAGTTACCTCGTATATATAAGTTACCCTGATATAAATAAAAGTTATTTATGCTTTATTGATAAAAGTTACCAAAAAGTCTAAAAGTTAGACTAAATACAATAAAAGTTAGATTAAGTAATTGAACTATAGTTAAAGTTAGGATATAAATGAGCTCTTTCCCAAATTAATGTCTAGAATTACCGCAATTCCCAAACTAAAGCCACTTCTTTTTATTTTCCCATTCTACCGTCTACGTAAGCATTGGTTAAAAAACCGGTTTTTTTTTCCGGTCCAGGGTAAACCGCTACTTCAAGTAGCGGTTTCTTTGCAATAAACCGCCACTTCAAGTAGCGGTTTCTTAGTACAAAACCGCTACTTGAAGTAGCGGTTTTTCAAGGTAAACCGCCACTTCAAGTAGCGGTTTCTTTACAAAAAACCGCTATTTGATGTGGCGGTTTACATTGGAAAACCGCTACTTCAAGTAGCGGTTTACCCTGAACTGTTTTTTTTTTTCAAACTTACATAATCATTCAAAAAAAAAACATGCAAGTTGTGTACCTGTAAAACATAAGATATATAGCATATTTTCAACACAACCACCACAAATAACAAGTTTATGAAGATCTGAGGAAGTCCAAATTGCAAAGTCGAATATTTTTCAATTGATTAAATATAACAAAATCTAATTCTAAGCATTTACAAAAAAATTAGTTTAGTTCCAAAATATACACTTAGCTCGGGCATTGCTTCTTCCCATGAGGTGACGACGAAGATGATGCAGCTGTCTCCTCCTTTGGAATGTCATCCAAGCCAACTCCAACCCCAGACGTAGTGTTGCTACGCCGTCGATTTCTCTGATACTGGCGATGCACCAGTGGAGGAGATGTCATGATAGTATGCTGAGAAGGAGGAGGTTCATGCAAGGGAGGGCGAATGTGAGTCGGTGGACGGAAGGCACGTGCTGAATGGCCTCCACGATGAGGTGGTGGTCTGATCGGCCTAGTGTGCACAGTAGAAGATGAAGACGTGGACGGTCGAGGCTGCTGAATAAGGTGTGACTGCTCCACCCTAGACAAGGTCTGCCCACAGAATGATGTAAAACCCTGCATCGTCTGTATGGAAAATGGTATAGCCGTCTCTGGTGGCAAATGGGAGATGGTCTCAGTAGCTCCCGATAGCTGGACGTGCAAATCAGCAAATGCATGTGCCTACATTGAAGTGTAGTTTTAATGTTAGTAAAATGAAATCAAAAACGAAAGCACTAGATTGAAATGAAATGAAGTTCATACAAGCAGTAGGTCAGAGGTAGCTGGCTGGTAATGACTCGGGGGGCGCTCCTACGAAGGTAGAGTAATGACCAGTCTCGTGATGCGACGATACCAAGCCATGTACTCTGTCATGGCCGGGGAAGAAGTCCCAGTGAACGGGTATCCCTGGACGACTAATGCCTCTCGTCGACTCCACTCGTGTACATGGTCCGAATGCCGAATCTCCCAATTACGCTGTCCCCTTCGATCCTTCCTGTGTAGAGCAACGTCCGTGTTTACATCCTGTGGGATGGGCTGCTTTAACCCGAACTGACGAAGGACTCGGTCTGGGAGGTGGAACTCAACGACGTCAAAGCATATCAGAGGTGCCCGTGTACGCCAAATGTGCATGTCTGAGCGACAAATCTCCGGAAGTCGATCCATCACCGCCTCAGTATATGGCTGCCAAATCATCTAATTCCCAAAACAAGTATGTCAACATGTATATGACTAACATAATGGAAGAAAAATAATGCACAAAAAAAAAGAAACACCGATTGTACCTGGTCCTCGCGCTGATGGTCAAACGCATCTCTGTAGTATGGTATGCGCACACGATAGATGGACACGTAACCACCTGTAAAGACTCGTTAATAATAATTCTTGAAAGATAGAACTGTTAGAACATGAACTTGAAGCAAACACTGTACCTGCACGCCAAAGGGTCAACACCTCGCTGATGTTGAGTCCCCAAAATGTCATCCTGATCCTCATCCTCAGGGTCCTCCTGTGGCGAATCTCGAGGCCTCCTAATGTATGGTCGGCCGATAGTAATATGCTCCCACGACCACAACTGTAGTAGGATGAGTGGGCCTCCAATCTGTCTCGAATCTCGCTGACATGCTCGACATAGTTGCCGGTACAAAAAATCAAGAGTCGCACTCCCCCAGCTGTAGGTCGAAGTTGTCTCCCAGTCTCGAAGGAACGACAAGTAGTAGAGTGACACAGCATCGCCACTCTTGTCGGCGAACAGAATAGATCCCATGAGAGTGAGAATGTAAGCACGGCTATGGCGCTGAACTGTCAAGTCATCAACTCCCTTTGGCATCTGTGAGAAGTGACGTCTGAGCCACGTCAACTTCAAAGTAGATCCCTCCAGAACGGCTTACCGTTATCATCATGGCCAGGTCTAACTCCCAGCAACTCCTCAACTAGGTCATGCCATCCCTCAAATGGAGGTCCAATGACAGGAGGGCCGTGCACTCTCAGACCTAACAGGACGGCGACATCCTGTAAAGTAATGGTGGCCTCACCTACCACTAGGTGGAAAGTATGTGTCTCCTGCCTCCACCTCTCAACCAACGCCATAAGAAGAGATCGATCAAGCAAAAACCCTCCACCCAAAATCCTATGCACACCGTAAAACCCAGCAAGCCTAACGTACTCTAGTACTCCGCCCTCTACCCTCCACTCACGTCCCACGCTGACCATATGCTCCCTAACTGAGAGAACTCTATCAGCTACGCCAATCCAAACATCGTGGCTCCTATGGGAAGTCTGCAACCGTAGAACAGATGGATCAACTGGGCCTGGACGAATAACCGGCTCCATGGGACCTACACGATAACAGAAAATTGAATTAATGTTAAGCGTTCGAGAATAAACATAAATATTAAACAAGAATATATAATTAATCATGTTACCCAAATGATCCAACACCACCAATAAGAGTAGGACATGTCTTCTTGTTATGCCCAGGTCGCCGACAAACACTGCATGCCTTCTTCACACGATAGGGACGCTCATCCATTTCATTTCGAATTCTAGTGGACCGTCGGCCTGGGCCTCTTTTCAAATCTGGGTTGGCCATAGTAGTAGGCCCATTGTAAGCTGACCAGTGGCAAGGATCAGGAACTGGTGCGAAACACTTCGCGTATGAACGCCTATATTCGGCGGTCGTGAAAAAAGAATCCACAAAGTCTGCATGTGATAGGCTTCGATGACGAAAAACTGCTAGGACATGAGAGCATGGGAGCTTGTATATTCTCAATTTCTCACAAGTACATGTCTTGCTCAACAGATTCACAGTGTGGGAGTTACCACCTTTACCAGCTTTTCTCCTTCCACGACCGGTCCTAACCTGATACAACCCGATGGCATCATAGTCAAAAGCAACAACCTCATGGTGCGTGGCTTTCTCCATGTTGGCTTCTATTGTCTTCATAGCCTTTTCCGATAACTCATGGCCCTCTTCAAGTCTTCTTTTACTCCAACTTCTTCTAGTTGCAAAATAGGAGTTAACCCGGAAAAAGGTCATTTGCACTAAAGCGGTTATCGGGAGACATCGAGCCCCCTTTAAGACTCCGTTGAAAACTTCCGACATGTTTGTAGTCTTCACACCAAACCTGAAACCACCATCATGATGAATGGACCACTTACTGTACGGAATTTCCATCAAGTACCTACGGGCCTCTACATTCAAGTCACCAATTTTGTTGATGTAGTAATCAAACTTCTTCTTCTGCCTTGCAGTAGCTGCTTTGCCAAAGAGGTTCTTTATGACGACACTTTTAAATTTTGAGTTCACATTAGAAGCCAAGTGCCGTGTACAGTACTTGTGGTAGGCATTGGGCTCCTCCCAACCACTTCCAACTTCTTCCATTGCTGCTAAAATACCAGCATGTCTGTTAGATATCACACATAGCCCTTTCCTATCTGTAACTCGAGCTCGAATACAAGCCATGAACCAAGACCAGCTATCATTGTTCTCTCCTTTGACAACCGCAAAAGCGAGGGGGAATAGTTGAAAATTGGCATCCATTCCCATAGCAATAAGTAGAGTGCCTTTGTATTTGCCATATAAATGAGTGCCATCAATGGTGATAAGGGGTCTGTGGTGACGGAATCCATCAATACATGGCTTGAATGCCCAAAAGACTCGTTGAAAAATATGTGTTCCAGGAACCGTACTCTCTAACAACCTCCACTCAACAACAGTTCCAGGATTTGATTCCTTGAGAGCTTCCATGTACTTAGGCAACTGTTCATATGAACCCTCCCAATCCCCATAAATGAGTTTTATTGCCTTTTGTTTCGCTAGCCATGCTCTCTTGTAGGTTATTTGGAATCCATCAAATTTCTCTTTCACAAGTTGCACCATTGTCTTGATTTTCAATGAAGGATCAACGCGAATGACATCTAGAAGAGCATTGCAAACGAACTCGGAAGTGAGTAGCTTATGATCTACCGAGTCGATGTCACCAACACAGTTACTTGCATGAGGGTCGTTGTACCTCACAATTTTAAACGTAGAGAGTGTTGGATCTTTCACTCCTCTAAGCCTCCACGAACAATTACATTGTTATTTCCTCTTGCACTCAACAACATATTTCTCTGGCTCTGCCTCCACAACTCGAATTGTTTGATTTCTAGCTATGGAGTAAGATTTCACAGCATCTTTCAGTTGTTGCAAAGAGTCAAACTGTTGTCCAACCTCAAATTCTCCCCCATTGTTATATGTCTCATTTCCTAACCAAGACATCCATGAGTTATTCAAACGAGGATCAACTTACGCCACTTCATTGAAGTCTGAAGTGGGGGCGCTTCCTTTAATTGCCTTATCACGAGCTTCAATTACCTCTTCGTCATCATCTTCATCAGTGTCATTCATCTCCGCATCGCCAAATACATCAACATTGTTTGGGTCAAGAGAATCAAGAATGCCTTGTGGTTGTGTGCTTGTTGAGGTTCCAACATTAGGCGATGAGGCCGGAGACCTAAACTGTGACAGGTGTTCATTGACATAATGTGGATCAACAAGCATTCTTGTGAATGACCCTATGCCCACACTTTGATGACCAGTGGAAAACGGTTGATCCATACTACCAAAAAAATCCATCCCCGGAAAGGAACCAGTGTTAGTTTGCACAACTGGCTCCTTTGGAACTTGTTCAATGAACAATTGCATTGCAACAGAAGAACTCTGAGTCACAACAATCCACATAGCTCTAAGAGCGTTGTCGTCATTCAACGGAATTGCAACATATGCCCCAGCCATAGGATAACGCATAACCACCTTCAACTCCACACCTCTAGGATCAACACTCAATTCTTCGTATAGCTTGTTCAGAACTTGTGAATATGTCATCGCAGCATGTACAAAAACAAATTTTTGATTCCCACCCCTATACGTTACATCGCTATCTTTGTGGACAATTTCTCCACCCCAATAGCAATATAGAGGGTAGTTCGGAACCTCCATGTTTCATTCTAGAAAAGACCATTATTAATCAAAGATATTAGATTGCAAAAATTCATTAACAGTGTGGCAATGTCCTAACATCAAGCAAACTACACAATTATAGCAACCTAAACTGAGCTATGAAGGTCTTAATACCTCTTGAAGCTCAACATGGGCATAAGTCATGACTACATGTACTTTGTGTATAGAAGCTCTATTTTCACTTTCAAAATCAGAAATTATAGCAACCTAAACTGAGTAATGTGATCGAAACCATTAATAAATCTACAAGGGTTATATGTAAGGTAAGTAAATCAAAGCTCATGATATGTTATAAACACAATAATACCTCACTCTTTTTACACTAAGGGAAGAAGAAAGTAAAGAGGAGCCGTATGTTTATCACAAACAACCAAAACCAACAACAACAACACATACATACAATTCTGAAACTCAATAACAACAACAAACTCAATAACAACAACAAACTCAATAATTGAATACAAAAAATAATTAGGGCACTTACCACAAACAAGAACAACAACACGTTTCTTCTGAAATTAGCGATGCCGACCACGAAACTCGAACCCTCGGCGTCAACAGCGGCGGCCTTCGTTGCTGAGGAATGCTCCGGCGGCGTCGGTGGATTCCTTGGCTGTGCCGGCTTCCGTTTAAGGAGGTGTGATTTTGTTGGAAGGCGTGGATGGGATTTTGGTGAAAAGAGGAAATTGAAAGAGGAAAGTGAAACTGCGAAACTATACCTGCTAGAAAACCGCTACTTGAAGTAGCGGTTTATTAAACAAAAACCACTACCTGAAGTAGCGATTTATCAAACCAAAACCGCTACCTGAAGTAGCAGTTTATTAGTAAAAACCGTTACTTCAGGTAGCGGTTTTGCTGTAGACCGGATTTTAAATTTCTTCCCCCTGAACCGGTGACGTGGACGGTACTTTGGGAATTCTTAAAACTTTGGCTGCAATTTGGGAATTGAGGTTATTCTTAACATTAATTTGGGAAAGAGCTCGATATAAATCTTGTCGGAAAAAAAAAAAAAAAGTTAGGTCATAATAGTATCGTAGGTTTGTAGTATAGTACTTCCTCCGTTTCTTATTAGTTTGACACACTTCATTTAGTTACACATTTTAAGGAAGTGAGTCAAAAGATATTAAAAGGAATACCCCTTCCCTACCAAATTACAAATCAATTTAAAGTTGTTTGAATAAGGTAAAATAGAAACTATGCTTTGAGTAACTAAAAAAAAAGGAAATTCTCTGCATTTTTTAATTTTCTCGTGGCAAATTGTAAAATTTTTTATTATCCCTGAAAAATTGTAATTTGTTATAATTATCCAATGGTGAGATTAATGATGTTTATATCGTTATATGCAATTATAAGCCTAACCATGTTTAAGTTTTATAATAATTAATTAAAAAAAAACTATCTACTCCCCCACCACAACCCAGCCACCCCTTGCCCTTACCCGTCCACTGCCGGCTCCCAATCACCGGCGCCACCCATTCCCTGTACCGGCGTCGTCCAGCCAACTATCCTCAAATAAGAGCCCCAAATTTTTCTCTTCCCCTGTTTTACAGTAGCCCGCATCTCTCCTGCTACACAATCAACCACCTGCACTCCCCTATTTCTCGCACCACCAACCACACCCAACACACCACCAGTCAGCCGCACACTCCACGCTGATCTACCATACACTCCTCGCTGTGGCACCTTTGCACCACCGCCCAGCTCACCCACACACTCCGCGCAGCCGCACCAGCCACCAGTAGCGCACAGCATTCGCGCAGCCCTGCTTTCGATTCAGTCCGAAACTGTTGTGCGACACGTTCTTGAGAAATACAAGAATCATCTTTGTAATCTTTGCAGTTTATAGTGAAATCATTCGATCTCGGTGCCCGTGGACGTAGCTATCACATCGATAGTGAACCACGTAAATTCTTGGTGTTGTTCTTATTGTTTGCATTGAATTTCTTTATTGTTTTCTTGTTTGTTTACGACCTTTGCTTCCGCTGTCGCACAACAGAAACCATCATCAATCAACTCCACCCAGGAGCCATTTGCCCTCGCATTCCCTCATCTCTTCCACAAATAAATTTCGGCCACCACCAATTGCAACCAGTCACCGCAGTTAACCGCAACAGCAGCGACATCAAGCAACCACCATTCGGCCCCTCAAAAGACCCAAATTCAATTCGGTTTCATCGCGGGGTGTTGGGGATCGATCGATTAAATTGATTTCGATTGATTACAATTAGGCCTTTGGGAGCGAATCATGGCTTAAGATTTGGGAGGCGCGTGAAAAAGGAGGAGGAATTGGAGTGAAAGACTGGCCGCCGGCGATAAGGGTGGCCGAGGAGCAGGGCTGGTGGGGGAGGGGGTGTCGGGGTTGGTGAAGAGAAGAAGTGTTTTTTTTTTAAAAAACAATCATTTATAAAATTATTATATTGTTAAAAAATAAAATATTTAATTAGTTGAGTGTATTAAGTAAGGACATTTAAGGAATTTCAGTTTTTATTTAAAATAAACACTAATAATGGTTAACCATTTACTTAAATTTTCAAAGGTACTAAAAATTTTCACAATTTACCACTGAAAAAATTAAAAAATACAGAGTTATCAAAGATGATTTTCCCAAAAAAAAAAAGGAAAACATGAATTAAAAAGAAACTTTTTAAAAAGAAATAAGCATCAACTAAAACAAAACGAAAGAAGTACTACCTCCGTTAACGGTTATTTGTAACGATTTGACATAAAGTAGAGAGGAAAAATGTCTAATCGTTGGTAGTATAAAAAATCAAACCGTGTCAATTAGAAGAGGGAGTAGATTATTTAACGTGTATTTAACATGTATGTGCTTTGATTGACGATCAGTCGATCACCATTCCACTCTCTAATCTAATCCCCACTCCTCGTTTACAGGACTTACCAAAACGGGCCGTACAGGGTTAATCCAAGGCGCTTTACAAACTTCGCCGCCGATCTCCCGTCTCCTGCCGTTGCTTGTCGCCGTTCCGCTCATTGAAACAGCCGAACAGGTAATTCTTCTGATTATTTTTGGGTGAATAATGTTGTTACAATCAATTTTATTTTCTGGGTCAATCATGATGTTAGAGCATACTGATTACCGGAACTTTGAATTAGATTTACAATTAAAGTTCGTAACTTGAGGGTTGTTTTGCTGAAATAAAAGTTAATAATCAGATTTCATGTGTTGTGGCGTTGAAAATTTGTGGAAAGATGTAATCAATTTGATAACAGTTAATTGGTCATGAGTTTTCCTAATTCTTGTTTGTTAATTTGGTTGATCAATAGCTTTCTGTGGGTGTTACTGGTATTGACTCGAATTAGAAGCCTAATTTAGGTGATGGTGGATTTTATTAGTGATTATTACTTTTATGAGGCATATGAGCTATGTAACTTTCCCTGACATTAACCACCTCGACCCGCCTTAAAAACAGTCATGTAGCTCAATACATTATTTTTAGGATTGAAGGATAATGTGGGTAAACAATACTCAGATTTTAGATTTTTAAGTAGAAAATACGAACAAAACAATCAAATCGAGCGACTTGTAGAGCTCATATTTAACAATAGTACAATTCTCTAAGCAGAAACCCTATAATGCTGCTAGATGCTCGTGTTTTTTCAACAAGCCTTATGAGTTTGGGCCAGTGGGCCTCGGTTGATCTCTGATTGGTAAATCTTGTGAGCTGCAGTTTAGAATTGCTGACATAAGTCGTTTTGAGAGCCTTAGGGGCTCTACATTATACTTCTGGGACTTGGGGTTTAGCTCTTCTGCAATTCAAAGATTTGAGAGACAAGGGGCTCTACGTCATACTTGTAGGACTCGAATTTCGGTCTTTTATGATTCTCAAAGGTGCCATTTAGCATTTGTAGCCCTTTACATGGTTACATGCTTAACTCTGCTTAAAGTAAGCCATAGCTTTTAGAGTTCAGAAGTTTGTATTCATACTTTTTCCCTATATGTGGGAGAAAGTTCTTGTGAGATCTTCAAACTGTGTTCTTTGAAAAGCATTTTCCCAAAATTTCTTCTCATAATTAGCCTAAAATTGCCTTGGCAGGCACTTAGACTATATGATTCTAAACATGCATAAATTTACCTCATTACACTTCGTAACTTGTTAGAATTACTCTGTGTCTCAAAATGATTGACTTCTTAGAGTTGGCAACTTGGCACAAATCACTTAAATTGTCTCTAGGCAACAAATTGAGCAATGTAGATTGTAGAATACACATCTACTATTTGTCTTATAAGATGGTTAGTTTGGATAAGAATATAAGATAGTCATCATGGGACTGGAAAGCAAACCACCCTACTTTAAAAAAGAAACTCTTATACATGAAGACGAATTGCCAATGTTGACAGAAACCATTGGTGACTATGTTTGACAGTTTTCTAATTTGTGGTTAAGTCTTCATAATTATTATTTATTGTTTTATTATTTCTTCTCTGCTTTTATGTGTGCTATCGTTTTTTGTTTTTAGAAAATGAAGCAAGAAGAAGTGACTTGTTGCCAGATTCAAAAATGGTATCCAAAATTTAAACCAGTCTCTATAAAGAACTTTATCCATGAACTCCCTGAATCCTTTATTCAGTATCTGGTTGGAGATTCTGGCCCTTTTCTACTTCCCACGTCTGTGTCAAATGAAGATGCCTTGCCCAATAGGATTCATAAACCTGAAGATGAGGAGGACTACCAAGTGTCGGAAGGATCTGAAGATGAGTCAGAGCCACCATCACCACCTCCTTCATTCCCGGAACTTGAATTGAAGATCAAAGATTCAATCGAATCCCTTGGTGGTGCTGTCTTTCCCAAATTAAATTGGAGTTCACCAAAAGATGCTGCTTGGATCAGCACCACTGGAACCCTCAAATGCACTTCATTTAGTGACATAGCTCTCTTACTCAAAGCATCTGATTCTGTGGTCCACGATTTGTGCCATCCATATGATTCATGCAGTGACAAGACTTTGTCGAGACCCCCTCAATTCTACCTTGCCTTACGCAAATGCAGGGGCGGACTCACCTTTAGTCATAGTGGGTCCGGTGACACAGTATTTTTTTTAAAAATAAAATATCAAAGAGACCCCTTATTATAGATAGGTGGTCTCTTTGATGCTGCTATTGGTAACAACAAACAATATCAAAGAGACCTCTTATTAAGATAGGCGATCTCTTTAATGCTGCTAATTTTTTTTAAATATTAAAGAGACCTGTTATTTATATAAGAGGTCTCTTTGATGCTGCTATTGCATTTCGCAATTTTTTTGCGCTACTTTTTTTCATTAAAGAGACCAGTTTTATTTAATAACTGGTCTCTTAAGTTATCTCACTTTTTTTTGTATAATTTTATAATAATTTTTTTCCCTTTTTATATCTTATATTTGTACAACCAATTTTAATATTTCCCCATAAAGCTTATCAATTAACTAAAAAATCATAAAGTTAATTCAATATAATAATTTTATTGTACCACTTGTTTATAACATGTTATTTGTAGTATTTTCGACTTGTAAAATTGAATTCTTAAGTACTGTATTTGGTTGTGGTATGAATTTTTGTGTCCTATTTTTGGATTGAAATCAATTTGGTGAAATATATATATATATATATATATATATATATATATATATATATATATATATATATATATATATATATATATATATATATATATATATATAATTTTTGGATTGAAATTAATTATGAACAAGACATGGAAAAAAAAAATTGTACTTTCACAAATGATCAATAATTGATGGTGACACACTATCTCGGAAATCCTGGATCCGCCACTGCGCAAATGGTACCCCTCTTTAAGACCAGAGATGGAGTTCCGTTGCTTTGTCTGTGCTCAGCAACTTGTTGGAATATCTCAACGTGAAGTCACTGCTTATTATCCTGCTGTACTGGAAAAGAAAGACGAGCTCAAAGATCTGATTTATGATTTCTTCATTGACAATGTTGAAGGGAGATTCAAATCTGAAAATTACACTTTTGATGTTTATGTTACAAAAGATAGGAGGATGAAGTTGATTGATTTTAATCCTTGGGGTGCATTTACACTGCCGTTACTGTTTACTTGGGAGGAGTTAGAGCAAGGTGGAAGGTTAGAGGAAGAGGTTGATTTTAGAATAGTGGAAAGCCAACATACAGTACGCCCAGGTTTGAAGACCGCAGTCCCTTATGATTATATAGATATGAGTGCGGGAAGTGGTTGGGATCAATTTTTAAGGAATGCCGATGAGGAGTTGCAGCAGCAGATGAGGTCTCCAGAAGCAGGTGCATAAACATTTGCCATCTGGTTAGCTGGAGCTTACTGATTATGATGTAGTATCCTTTTATACTTTATTGTATGCTTAGCTAAACAAGCTAAGTTCTTTCTTATTACAGTATTACTTTTGACTTAAAGTCAGAGTATTGATGTTGTATGAGTTTTGTGGTCTCCTTTCATTTTATTTTTTTTAGTGTTAGTGTTAGGGGTTATTATCGCCAAACTCTATTATGTTGGAGTAGTATACTATTAACACAAAAACCCTTCTCACATTATCTTAATAATAATTAATTTAATTTCATTGATAATGATTTATCATCCAAACTCTAATGTTATATTAGCCCAACTTTATTTTGCATTGATTTCGTGTATACATTATCTTAGTTGGTACTCGTATTAAATAATATCCTTCATCCTCTTCCCTTGAATCTTCCTACTTCCTCAATCCTCCATTTGAAGCTTCCTTCTCTTTCCCTCGATCACCACCATTGTTGACACCATCTTTGAAAATCTTAAGCTCAATGACAGCTTCAAATCATGGTCACCCCTACCCTCTGGAGTTGATCATGCCCTTAATTTCACCCTTTATTCACAAGGTTTTTGCTAGTGTCTTCGCCGCCACAGATGGTGGTGTCGTCGGTGGAAGGTGGAGACGAGGAAGATTGTGTCGGTAGAGGGTGGACAACTGGACATGATCACGTGATGAAGATAGTGGAAATGGTGGTGTTGGTGGAAGCTTCAATGGAGGAAGCTTCATCAATGGTATCGGTGGAGTACACAAATGGTGGATGGAGCAAGCATCAATAGACGGAGTTAACAATTGTAATGTATTTATTCTGACTCAACAAGTGATAAATAATAAAAAAAAAATATAAAAAAAAAAAACAGCTAGTAAAGTAGATTGACAAAGTTCATCAATTATAAAGATTAGTCGGGGCTTGCTCGTGCAAAATATATTACTTCGTAAGAAATTTTTCAATCAGCTTTAAGTCACGTTCACAATTCATGTTACTTCAATTCTTTAATTTGTCTATCGTACTTGTGTCAACATTCGACACTCCTGACAAAGATAAGCATTTCAACACAAATTAAACAAAGTTAATTTAAATGTGTGTGTATTTGCACATTACGGCTCAGGTGAAACAACCTCAATTTTAAACAAAGATATATTCCATTAATGCTGTGTCCGGTGTCCTCACACCTGTTATGGACTGTGTCATCTTCAAGCTTACAAATGGGCCTCATATAAGCATTATAGTTGCAGGCTTGGTCCTCTACACTCCAGCTTTCCAGAATCCAGATCATAAACCCAAAGAGGACCTCATGCAATAAGGAAGCCGGGAAGCAATGTTTCCACGAACAGCAGACACAGTTCTAACAGTTGCCAATCTGAACATAACACCAGCCCCAAATTGTGATTCTGTACGCGATGGCTACCTACAGATTTGTTAAAAACCCATTTAGACTAACAACAAAGCTACAAAGGGTACATGAATGTTCACTTCAACTACAATATTCATCTTCAAGAAGTATTCAGCAAATGATCATGACAACATTGAAATATAATAAACAATTTCATATTGTATACATTAGCATAAGATGAAGTGATGAACATTGAGCATCCAATAACGCCCTGATCTCTCCACCTTAAATAAATAATATTCAGTAAAATTAATTTCACTTAAGTAAAAATATGTAACTTTAAAGAAGAAATATAATAGGGAATCAGAAAAAAAAAATTCAGTTCATTAAATTAATTTCATTTCAGCAAAATAATTTCAGTTCAATAAAAATAATTTCAATTTAGTAAAAATAAGGTGAAGAAAACAAGGCCTAACTATGGGTGAAATAAAATTGGATCAAATCCATCGCCTAATACAATCCGAACCAAAATAGTTATTTGGTTTAAATTATCTGTTAAACTGGATGGATTGGGCACATTTATTTTTTAAATTGAATTCTTGGATCAGATCGAAGGTGGTTGGATCTCATAAAAATATTTTCTTTTAAAAAAAAAAAAAAAGAACAACCCAATATTATATGAAATGTTGATGTTATATCCTATGTTCGTTATGTTAATTGTGAAGACTGATTTATGTCTTGCAGATCATTGTGTAAGGCTTAAAGTTATATAGTACTATATCAACATATTATTCATATGATTCTAGCATAACAGCCTATTCAACTCCCAATTTCCAGTCTTGAAAGGATTTAAAACAAACTTTCACTTTCACATGTTTCATTTTCATAAGAGACCATTCAACCCAACTCATGGTAATCAGTTTTTGATTCACAAAGAAGAGAGGGTTGAAGTTGGCTTACCTTAACTAGAAGACTTTTGAAGGATATTGATTACAGGGCAACCCTCAGTCTCTCCTCAAAAACTTCCCTGCAGTATTTGTAGTAGCTTGAAAGCTTCCAGATTTCACATCCGATCTTGACTTCCTTACTGCATCCATAAAAAAGGAACTTTGACTTACTGAAAGTCCTTGAATTACTCAATCCTCAGGTCCATTCATTCTCGATCAAGACAGCATGCTCAGATGAAAGTGCGTAGATATTCTGTGCATCAATAATATTAAGTACAAATCAGAAGCGAACAGATGGTTATATGAAGCAATTAGTAGCAGGTTCTGTGATCCAGCACAGAAGAATATAGAAAAGCTCCTTTCATATATTAGAAGAAGAAGAGAAAAAGAAAAAATACCAAAAAAGAAAAGAAAAAGGATGCAAACATGGCCACAAGGCTTACCTGTATGATACACAATGGCATTTGGGGTTGAGTCATTGTAATTGAGAATCTGAGAGCTAATGGCATCTATGGATTTTATTGTTTTCTGAAATACAATTTTGTCTTTGTGCCAGAGATCAGAAACTCAAGTATAGATCAACAAAGCAAGCTCATATCTTTGATCAACGTGAATTAATTTTTTTTTTTAAAGCCAACTTACTTGGAGAAGTCAGAAGAAAAGGATCCATATATATATAGAATTGCTAGAATGAGAATGAGAAAACCACTTAAAGTTGACACATGTCCCCCTTCCTAATTTTTAAAAAAACAAATATTCCTATCTTATGTACTTTGTACTTTATATGGGACACGTGGCAGTTTTTAACTGGCTTTCTCATATTCTCATTTCTCATTCTAGCAAATCTGTTATATATATATGTGTACATATATACATATATATACATATATATACATATGTATATGTATATATACATATGTATATGTATATATACATATGTATATGTATATATATATGTATATACATATATACATGTATATACATATGTATATACGTATGTATATATATACGTATATATATGTATATACATATATATATGTATATATATACACATATATATACATATACATACATACATACATACATACATACATACATATATATATATATATATATATATATATATATTACTGAGCTACTGATTAATGTCTAAAAAAGGATAACTTTTCTCCAAGACAAAGAACTAGTTGCAAATCAATAATTGTATGTAGTAAAGCCATTTCTTAGCTGATTTCAGTGTCTCAATGACCGCAGTCAGTCTCAACTTAGGGTTTAGGGTATTAGGAATAATTAAATCTTGAGAATATATAAAAATTTGCATTAACTTTTGATTAATTACAGTAATATTTAAGACAAAAAAGCTTTTAACTTAAAGTATTCGTAGCTCCTAGAAATAATATTTGATCACTTGAAAAAGGAAATCGGACAAGTCAACAATGGAATTGGATGGATGGAGTAATAAAGATTAGAGAAATTACAATACAGGACACACCAATATTATTATACTAAAATGTAGCTCTTAAAATCTTAATCTTGCATGTGAACCATACTTCCACAGAACCACAGGCCATAGTCTAATCTAGAAAAAAAATGGAACGGTTTATTGACTAGCAGCCAAATATCTACTTAAGACCAGGGAACACATCGACTCTATGCATAAACTGATGTCAATAACATTAAAGAAAATAAGTCATCTTGAAACCTGGACTACCGCACATATAATAGATGCCAAATAAATGGTCATGGTGCTAGAAACTATCTACAACAATACAATGCAATTGGTACCTGGCAAATGTGGCAAATCATACTCCTTTAGTGTGTACTGTTTAGTTATTTAACCCTTGGCGGAATGTGCTCTGAAGCATCTCCTCTAGAGTGGTTCAACCAAATCATCATAACATGCGCAAATGCTTTCACCAATAGTCTCCACAAGAACAAACTCCATCTTTGAAATGATGAAATCGATTAGCATCTCGAATAATTATTTCCCGATTGGTGAATTTTGATATAAGCTTAATAGCAGAGTGACAGTTGACACATGCCCTGAGATTTTTTGTTATCCGAAGAGTGCTTCCTGATGGTGTTGAGATGAGACCACAAGCAACTGCTAACCTCTCACTATGATTACAAAGACTCTCCTGCATGTCCTCAGAACTCAAATCATGTAAATTAGATTCTGAATCAGGGGAAAATCCAGCTTCTTTCAACCTCCTCTCCAAATCAGCAAGCTTTTTCCAAATTTCCTCATATCTTGGATGTGAATTGTCTCCTACACGAAATACTTGGAGCTTTCCATTGATTTCAATAAGACTAAATCCAAAATCCTTGCTCAACCCTCTCTCTTTCATAAGCTTGCGAATTTCATTAACCTGATCCCACATACGTGCTGCAGCATAAAGATTTGATAACTGTACGTAGTGTCCAGTATCATTTGGATCTATCGCAAAAACTTTAGAAGCTGCATATTCTCCCATTTGTACATGGCGATGGATTTTGCATGCACTCAGAAGGGCACCCCATACTGTTATTCCTGGTTGCATGGGCATTCTAACAATAAATTTGTAGGCTTCTGCCAAGTAGCCCGCACGACCAAGCAGATCTACAACACAAGCATAATGTTGGTGAAGAGGCTCTATGCCGTAATCTTTCATGCTATGGAAAAAAGTCCATCCCTCTCTGACCAGCCCTGAGTTTTTACATGCCAGAAGAAGCCCAAGAAAAGTGACATCGTTAGGCATCACTTCAGCTTGCACCATTGCATCATAAAGATCAATAGCTTCTCGGCCACAACCATGCAATCCATATCCCACTATCATGGCACTCCAAACAACAACGTCCTTATCACGAATCTTATTGAAAACTTGCCTAGCTACTTCCACAGTTCCGCATTTAGAAAACATATCAACAAGTGCTGTTTTTACATATACATGATTTTGGTAATCACTTCTACTGACATAATCATTCATCCATCTTGCCAGATCAATTGAGCCAACTTGAGCACAGGCTAGAATAGCAGCCCTCAGAGTGATAGAATCTGGCTTCATATCCTTCTTCTTGGCCAATAGTTTAAACAGCTCTACAGCTTTCTCAGCATAACCATTTTTAGCATATCCAGAAATCATAGCATTCCACAATATCAGATTTTGTTTATTTATCTGATCAAATAAATATCTTGCCACCATCACTTCCCCACATTTTGCATACATAGCTGTAAGTGAAATTTGCAAATCTTCTTCTGATACAAGACCCATTTTAAGGACACAACCATGTAGAGATTTTCCTTGTTCCAAATAATCAAGATCAGCACAAGCTCTCAGAACACTCACTAGAGTAATCCAATCAGGCTTCATTTTCATCATCCTCATATCACTGAAAAGTCTCAAAGCCTCCATGGAATTACCACTTTGTGCACATTTTGATATAATGGCGGTCCAAGAAACAACAATTGATCTACTACTACACAACAAGCCATCATAAGAAACAAGCTTCTTGGCATAATCAATTCTACCACACTCAGCATAAAGTGAAACCAGTCCACTTTGCACAAACATGTTAGAATCATGGCCAAGCCTACATATATGGCCGTGGATAGCCCCACCCATCTGAAGAAGCTTTAATAAGCTGCATGCCTTGAGCACTTGTGTAAGAATATAGTAATCAGGACTCACCCCAGCCCGCTTCATTCCAGCATACGTTTCAATTGACTCACGCAACATATTACTTTTACTATATCCACCAACAATTGCATTCCACATAGATATATTTGGTTGAGGAAAGGCATCAAAAACCTGACGAGCATAGCCAATTTCACCGATTCTTAAGCATGCATTCATAAATTCAGAGACCAAAAAGCTTTCTTTAGTATGAAGTCCAGAAATTATAAATTGGGCATGAATCTGCTTCAAATCAATCATATGAGTTGAGCTACTCAAAAGAGATTTATAGAAGTTAGAAGCATCAGGGACATGAATCTGATGCTTAAGAAGGACAGCTTGGTCCTCACTGTTTTCGTCAATATAATCATTTACGCAATACGAAGATGAAAAACGAGGCCTCACATTAAAAAATCTCGATTTTGTAGAAGCAGAAATCAAAGAAAATAAAGCAGGAAAATTAATAGACATAGCAGCTAATTTCTAAGGAAAACTGAAATCCAAATATGAAGTAATATGATAGTCCTGATTATGTGGGTTACTCGTGCTTATTTTCCTCTAGATTCGCCGATTTTTTTATGTAATAACCTTAATTTAGCAAGCACCCATAATCAAAAATAGAGCAAACGCAAAGTTGAACAAGAAAATGAAGACGAAGAAACTGACATTGAGTGTTGCGAGCTGAGTGTGTCGGTGCTCGCCTTCACAGGGGTTGCTAGTGTCTATTTGCAGCACCGGCGGGCATTGCGGTTGCTTCTGGTCGACGATAAGAAGAGGTGAAGGAACTAATTTTGTAAAAGATGGTTTATTTTTAGCATTTGGGTTTCAGGTTATGTTCAAATCAAGTTAAAATGGCGGGCATTGCGGTTGCTTCTGCTCACACGATCACTTGGAATCGGAGGAAAACTCTAACCAATTGATCTATCCCTCACTCTCACATACAGAGTAATTGTAAACACATCACGATTTTATCCTGTCAACATGATACTATGTATTATGTAAATAAATCGACAACTGTGGGCTCATGTATAACAAAAATACAACGTCTATAATAGACCCGGTGGACAATAACTTATTGTGCACCCAACCATCTAGTATAGCATAAGAAATGTAATTATGACCTGTTTGGTAATTTGGCCCAATTATGTTGTTTGGATATACTTAGAATTTGGGAATTGAAATTGGCCAAAATCCAAGATTATGAAGACATGAGTATATTTTGATATATTGAAATTCCAATCCTAAACTTGTCATTTCAAATTCTAATATTCATTAAAAAAAACCCAAGACTCTCTCTCTCTCCTATGTCATACACAAGTTTCATCCTCTTCCCCAATTTTTTCTCTCTCCTAGGGTTCTTCATCATTTAAGCGTACACAAGTTCTCTCGCCCCTCCTCAATTGAAGCGAGCTTCGAATTTCTTGCTCGACCATTAGAATGTACCCTATTTAAAATGGCTGAAATTTGCTTGACCAATTTCTGAAATTTGTAGCAGCTCTTCAAATTCTCCATTGAAGCGGCGTGCGAGCTTTCTCTCTCCTCCATTGAACAACAAAATAAAGATACCAACATTGCAGCAAACAAAGCAACCCACAAACTTTTAACTGGTTGCAATTTGACGGCACTTTTTCGGGAAGAAATCAACAAAATTTTGAACTTCTTCGGCACTAATTTACTGAAAATTCGGAGGAATTTGGATTTAATAGAGTATTTTTGGGAATAATTGGGGTATTGTTGAAATTTTTTGGTAGTAATTTACTGAATAATCGGAGAAATTTTGGGTTTAATTTTAGGGTTTATTGAAGAAATATGAGTAGAGGAAGAGATGAAACTTTGGGAATTTAAGATTGAGGAGGAGAGAGAAGGAAATTTGTGTGAGTTAAAAGTGTAATTTCATTTGCTTAATTCAAAATTTCACTCATCTCCAAACATAGGTTAGAATTTGAAATTTTGGAAATGAAATTCTGATATTTCTCAAACACCCAATCATAAAATTGAATATCAAGATTTCAAGTTTTGAAATTCAATTCCAACATTTGAAATGAATATCATGTTTCCAAACACAACCTTATATCATTTGATAAGTGATTATATCACCCAGAAACTGATTATGTAAATGTATCATTTAAAAAGTGAACTTATCAATAAAAAAAAGTATCAAATAGTTATTATATCATTCAAAAGATAATTATATCATCTGACTAAATTATTTAAAATACGATTAGATCATTCAAAATAAGACTCACAACAAGATAATTATATATATCATCTTAAAAAGTGATTATATCATCTGAATGTGACTGCATTATTTGAGAGTATCAAATATTGGGTCTGCAATATTGTAGACCGGGTCCATACAAGACCTCCAAAAACAAAACAAAACAAAAAAAAAAAGAGAAAAAAAAACTATTGATTATTTGATTTCTCAAGAAGATAAACTTGTATTTTCTCGTTAAAATATAGTGTACTATTAGAGATATACTAGGATTTTATTATGATATCCTGGGATATTATTATGATATCCTAGGATATTATTGTTGATGTTATTGTGGTGAATTGGGATAATATTTTAGGTGAATATCTTTTGTAAGGATATGGGGAATATTAGGGTTCTGTAAATCCTATTGTTATATATACTTGTATTATGGACATGAATATGAATGAGAAGAAATATAGTGAACATTGTTGAATCTTTGCGACTAATTTAACATGGTATCAAGAGTCTAGTTAAGATCATTTTTTTTTTGTACGTAGATTTTCATAATTTACGCACACTTGTGGGATTATATTTCCTTTCCCGTTGAGTTGTGAAGATGTCTGGTGGAGGCTCAGGCGATGATGGAGGAAAGACGAAGGTGGACATGACTTACCATCTGGGTTCAAGTGATGGACCTAGATATTATATCACCCCGATACAGCTTCGAGGTGAGAATTATGATGAGTTGGCGAGGGCTATTAGACCTTGTTGAAGGCCAAGCGCAAATATGGTTTTGTTGATGGTAGTATCAAGAAACCGACGAATAGTGAGAAATTGGAGGATTGGGAGGCTGTTCATTCAATGTTAGTCTCTTGGATTATAAATACGTTAGAACCTTCAGTAAGGGCAACCATTGGAGAGTATGACGATGCACAACTCTTGTGGAATAATTTAAAAAACCGCTTTTTTGTGGTTAGCGGCACACGAATTTTTCAATTGAAGTTGTCCTTAGGTGAATGCAAGACCAATCCTGTGGCTACATATTTTGGTCGAATCGCCAAAATTTGGGATGAATTGAACACCTACATTACCGTACCTTCTTGTTCTTGTGGTGCGTGTAAATGTAATATCGTGACGCAAGTAGAAAAATTGAGGCAGGAAGATTTTGTTCATCATTTTTTTATTGGACTAGATGACGTTTATGGCTCAATTAGGGGTCAATTGTTGGCTCAAGATCCGTTACCATATGTTGATAAGGCTTATCAACAAATTATTCAGGCTGAGCGCTTGTGGGGAGGCGAGACTACCATGCCGACGGCTCGTGAGAATGCTATGGCTTTCAAGCTTAAACATGACACCACTTCTAAACCGCAATGTTCGACGACTAACTCTGATAAATTTTACAACCATTGCAACCGTGTAGGACATGATGATGAATTAGACTATTTTCAGATTCATGGCTACCCTCCTTGGTGGGGAGAACGTGGTCGTGGAGGTAGGGGCCGAGGTTGTGGTGACTTGGGCTTAAGCAAAGGAGGAGGAAGATTTGGGGGCCGAGGTGGAGGTGGTCAACCTGTTCATGCGAACAAGACTGTAGGGCAATCGGCTTCTCAGCCCACGCAAGGTGGGAGTGCTACGACAGCTAACAGGGCAGCTCTTGCGGGTGTATCCCCTGCTCAAATTCAGCAAATTATTAATCACTTGAACGCTACAAAACCCAAGCTACAGGGTAAGGATCAATTAGGTTGCATCGTTGATACTGGCGCATCACCATGTGACTTGTGACTTGTCTCTTTTGACGAATGTGACTGATGTGCAACATTGTCTGGTGGGTCTTCCGAATGGGAAGAGTGTTAATGGGTCTAAATTGGCACCGTAATTTTGCAAGGGGGTTTGAAAATTTCTAATGTTCTATTTGTACCTCAATTGAATTGCAATTTAATTTCTGTAACTCAATTATGTGATGAATCGAATTGTACTCTGTAATTTACTAACAAAATTTGTGTTATACAGGACCTAACGATGAGGAAGGTGATTGGAGTGGGTGAACGAGTGGATGGACTTTATTATTTTCATTGTGCTCTTGAGGTGAAGGCTTTGAAGATTGATGGTGTTCAGTTGACGGAGTTGTGGCATCAACGAATGGGACATCCTTTGGGAAAAGTACTGCAACATCTTTCAGTTGTGAGTAGTTCTAGTAGAAGTATTAAAAATAAATCTTGTGATGTATGCTCTAGGGCAAAACAACATAGGAATAGTTTTCCCATTAACAATAAAGCTAGTCGTGTGTTTGAACTTATTCATGTAGATTTATGGGGGCCTTACAAGACCTCATCGACTTGTGGTTCTAATTATTTCTTAACTATAGTAGATGATTTTTCAAGAGGAGTATGGACGTATTTAATACGTAATAAAACTGAATTTGAATACATGTTTCTTAATTTTATTGCTTTGGTGAAACGACAATTTGGTCATGAGATTAAGGTGATTCGTAGCAGTGACAATGGAACAGAATTTGTTTCCTTGAAAAATTTTTTTTTTGCCAATGGAATCCTATTTGAAACATCATGTGTTGGAACGCCTCAACAAAATGGGCGTGTTGAACGGAAACATCAACATATTCTTAATGTGGCACGTGCCTTGAGATTTCAAGCACATTTACCTCTTAAGTTTTGGGGGGAATGTGTGCAAGCGACTTGTCACTTGATAAATCAGACTCCCTCTAGATTGCTTAAATTTAAAACTCCGTTTGAGATCTTGTTTGATAAACAACCCTCTTATGAATATATTAGGGTGTTTGGGTGTTTTTGTTATGCTCACAATCAACGTAGTAAGGGTGACAAGTTAGCTAGTAGAAGTAGGAAGTGCATATTTTTGGGATACCCCTTTGGGAAGAAAGGTTGGAGAGTGTATGATTTGGAGATCAAAGAAAGCTTTGTTTCTCGTGATGTGCAATTCTTTGAGTTCGAATTTCCGTTTGCCATGCCTCAAAGCAATGCAGTTCAAAGACTTATACTTGTGCATCTTTCAATTGAAGATTCAGTGATGATGAATGGGGTTTTGATGAGCACAATGGTGCTGTGGGAAATGAGGTTGTTGGCGTGAGAGGTGATGATGCATCCCACACAGTAGACACGGGCAACTCGTGGCTGGAGGGAGAGCACCATGACCAGGCCGTGGCTGGCAAGAGAGGTGATGATACAACCCACACAGTAGACTCCACGGGCAGCCCGTGCCTGGAGGGATAGCACCACGACCAGGCCGTGGCTTTAGG